TGAGAGTATTATTGTTCATTTATTGAATACTAAAACAAAGAATAAATAGTAAAAAAAGTAACGAATTTTAACATATCCAAACTATTACATTGTAAATCCATTCGAAACACTTTTTGATCGTCAGAAATAGCGGGTTATCAGTAACATAACATAGTATGTGTGAAGTTACTCGCTCCGCAACATCCAAACGAGGTACATCGTCTCATAAAGTGGCAACTCAGTGTGTCGAGATAAGCTTTCGAGAAAAGTTCAGTACGCATGGGACGTCTTTTCGGAAGCTCACAAGCTTTTTGATAAGGAAACGAATTTACGGCGTTTTTTATCGACGAATTCGGATAAATGTTGTCAATAAACGGAATAATTAACATTTTATAATTATGACAGTCTTTGCAAAAACGAATTTGTTTTTTCTTTACATAATATTAATTGCAATAGAATATGCCTTCCATGAGCCGAACTAGCTGAGAATTTTATAGAAGAAGTCTAATAATAATAATAAATATTTCGTGGAATAGTTTTACAGAGCTTTATCTAGTCCCAAAGTTAGTACTATTTTTACTAGGTAACTGGTAAATATACTAAAACAGCCTTTTTTCCAATACACAATATTTTTCGTAATCACACCGTCTGGCCCTAGGGACAGATTTAAGACCCATTTACACGGTGCAAGTTTCTTGCCTGTTGTATACAATTAAATTGAAGCAATAAATGAGTTGCATGGTCTAAACAACAAATGGTCTAACAAATTATTGCGCGCAATTTATTGCATTCAATTATTGCTCTTGTATGTACAAGAAAATGGCATCGTGTAAATGGGCCTTTACTGTGAACCACACCTGACGGGTCGTCAATTTTACAAATTATATTCATAGACTATCAATAATTTATAAGTTATACCGTTAGAGTAGCAATGAAATTCATTTTCAATACAATACGGGTATGTTTACAATGTCCTGAGGCATTTCAAACACAGTAGTACCTAAATATAGTTATGATTGCAACCGTGTATCCACATTCTATGGAAAATACGGACAAAAGAGACTCGATGACAACTTGACAATGCGCGGAATCGATTCAGAGCGAGGAGAATGCGGCTTGGTAATAGTAATATGGCAACATGTTGACGCCAAAGTCCTATTGTCTATATCACACGGTTCAAAACGTAACACAATCATTAAAAATGTATATGAATATATGTTATCTATGTATTATGTGTGAAAATCGGTATCCTCCTTTCAAAATCTGCAAAATAAAATTTATTGGTAATATAAACAACACATCACATACAAAGCTTATAAATATATATTCTACAAATAATTGTGAAAGTGTTCATTCTGATTATAGATTGTTTTAATTCAACTCCAAGCAATATACCGTGTTTCACCAATAGCTATTGATTAATTATTTTCGAACAAAATATTTTTTTTTCTTATTCAAATTTCCGTGCACCTCGCCAAATCTTAATCGTTTCAACTCCTTCAAAAATTCGTATAACACATTAACATGCAAGGAAAGCTTTACAACGATAAAATTAACGTATTGGCGATAAAACAAGTATATTTTCCCATGTTTTTGACAGCTGCTCACTCTTGCGTTTTTATTCGTTATCATTTGCACTGGCATCGCCATTTCTCCGAACCGCCATCTTGTCCCAATCCCATTGGCGCGAAAATGTACATCGTACCGGGAACATATGTCAAAGATAATAATTTAAATGTGCAAATTTGTCGGAATTTTTGGCGACTCAATTACTTTTGTCCTCGCATTGCAATTTGTATGTATAAGTCGTATCACTAATATAAAAATTTGTATCAATAAGTTTTTTGGCCATTATTTCGAAAATAGGTTTCAAAGTTTTTGTTCACCGCTGAGCATGTGATAAGTCGGCACTTAAAATTGCTATTAAAAATTTCATTGGTACCGGCACCAGGATTCCAGAACGCACAGAATTATTTCACATTTCACGGCCCCCAAAAAATTCCCTTCAAAACTCGGCTGCCCTGAATTAATGACGATATCTACATTTTACGACAACGTCGTCGCTAGTAATTCTGCAAGTACCAATTTCGAGTATAATGTGAAGCGTATCAGTTGTGATGATTTCGGAGCATTAGGAGCTTAATAAGTTGGCCATGTCTTACGTTAAAGGCTTCAAAACAGGCATTTCCCTCTGTAGATTGTTTAAATTGACCGATAAAATCCTTTTACGCGATTTTAAAATCAATAAAATCAAAATATGTAGAGAAAGTGCGAAAAGATTGTCGCCGCTGTGGGAATCGAACCCACGTCTTCGGCATTCGCGGCCTGACGCTCTAGCCACTGAGCTAAACTAAAAATCTTAACGCATTCTTCTACATTGTTTTCTTAGCATTTGAAGCAATGCTTGGCGCCATCTATTGTTATATCCCACAGCGGCGACAATCTTTTCGCACTTTTTCTACATATTTTAATGTTCAATCTTAAGTGCAAAGATTAGCACTATAAACAATATAAATTTCAATAAAATCAATGTAAATTATTATTACTATCACTTAAGTAATTTGTCATGTTTTTATTTGTTGTTATATAATATTCGGATATAAAATATATATTTTCTAATTATTTATTATATTATAATTTAACTTAATTCCTTCATATTTGTCGTTGAAAGAAGTTTAGAATAGTGAAAATTTAACTGATGATTTATCGTTGGGATAATGACGAAAATTTGTTTAGGGTTCCAAATATTTCCGTTATATTCCATGTAGAATGAAGCACAGAAGAACCAAACCCGGCACGGGCCAAACAGCCAGTAATTATTTTAAGTGTCAATAAATAATAAAGTCGGTCGAGCGTCTGAGTGCTCGTCCATCTTCTTATCTCAATTCTTAATGCGCCTCTTTGCCCCTCGTTCTTTTTTCGAGCGTCTCGTTTTTTTTAACATGTCATCAAGCCGGGAAGTCGCATTCTGTATTGACAGCGCGAAGGTTTTATATTTTAATCGGAATTTTGTATTCTTAATCCGTTATATTGGGTGCCCGTTAAACGGATTTATTTGGTCTTATCTATTTTACGTGCATCAGTTTTTAAAAGCAAAGAATATGTATGGAGTTGGTTTTGAGTATTGATGACATCTTTATCAGTTTAATGCCGAATGATTTCACGCTCATATGTCTTTGAAATGTTTCGAAGGAATTTTTAATTCGTAAAATATTATTAGAAAGTTCATGTAATAATTGTTTTAGACAAGAAAGGCTATACCTAAAAGTAATCTAATAGTACATATTGGATACTAATATTTTTCTTTTATAAGCACTGTTCTATGAAATACTTGTCTATTATTTATCAAAGCAAATAGCATCTTAGGTAGAATATCTTGTTTCAGAATAATGTTTGTAAGAGGCATGGGCGCATAACTATCAACAATATGATGCTACTCTGCATCTATTACTACATTTTTTTTAGTTTTTTCTGTTCTTTATGTTACAGTTTTCGAAACGTTAAAGTAAAAATAAGATAAATTCTAAAAGACATTGTGTGTTATTCGAAGATGCAAGAAATCATTAAAATGAATTGGCCTTACTATCCTCAACGAAGAATGGATAATATACCTCAGCTCTGACAATCCCCGTTAGGTCATAGGTTTGTACCTTAATTGTATATCCATACAGCATATGAGCATCAAGTGTGATGCCACCTTAGACTATAATAGTGAGATGACAGAGAATCGCCTCGGCTGCCGGCCTGTCATTAATGCCTTGGCGCCAACGCCGTCTTATGATTTCCCATGCCGTTTATTTGTCTCCTTTCCTTATGTAGAACACTTATGAACTTTGCGAACAAATCATAACGATCATATTTTTAAACTCAGTCATAATTCACTTAACTTGAGCCTCAACGAGATGCAAATGTGGAACAGTTTTTACTGCCAGGAAATGGCTGTTGCACGGCATCTTCGGCTGTTGCACGAATGGGCAGGCTCGTCCGGGGAAATATAATGGCCTCACAGTAGAACAATGTGAAGTGGAAGTTATACTTTGCATTTCGCTTCAGTGAGGTTGCCGGGGCGCGCTTTTGTAAAGGTTGTTAACGCATCTGCAGTCCGTCAGATGTTGTAGTTGTCCATGGGCGGCGGTATAACAATTAACATCAGCCAGCTTGTTTGAGAACTTTTCACATAAAAAGCTAACAGACGTAGTGTGCCAGCAATAGCATGTCTCTTTACGGTGTTAAATATTACGGTCGTTTCAGAAGGCAAAGTAACGGCGAGAAGCCAAGGGAAGATTTTACTAAATATTATATCAAATGTTTATCTTTCGCCCACATGATTTTACCCTAATGATATAGCAGGTAAACTATTGCACCATATACAAGACAAGCAGCGATTTGTTCGATCGAATGACTTTGGAAATTCCCACTTGGATTTAAATCCGCGACCCCAGTCGCGAACTTTTCAACCTCTAGACCACCACTGACTATTATAGTGAAGACACACGACCCGATAAAACACTTCTACCGTTAAACTATTCAGTATCTTAAACGATTGCATTTCTATGCATTAACCTACGGGTCGCGGTGGCAGGTTTACGATCGTTATCGTGCTAACGTAAATCAATCGCCGTCGACATTATTCCCATCATAGAGCTTTTAAAATTATCAAATTAAAATTTTTGATTTTATTCAACTTTCTAACAATTTACGGTAAAATTTTTAATCTATATTGGTCGCTTTTGAAAGAATACTTCATATATTTCACGACAGTTAGCTATACCTGTGTGGTGAAATATTAACGTTACATTCTTCCCAGTCGGATTTGCTGAAGCTCAGGACACCTCAGGATGGTAGGTCACCATGGACAGCGCAACCCAACTTTAAGTATCTCTTAATCTATCTGTCATACAACGCCAGTGCCACTTGATTCCGCAAAACGTTACGCGGCAGGAGATCAATAATTGTTTGCCTCGGAAAAACCCTGTTAATAAAAATAAAATATATTCACACGCAATATATTTTATTTGCAGAGCTCTGAGAGCCCGGTGGAGGAGAAACCGAGTAGCGAGAAGACCTACGTGGTGGCCACGTGGCCGACAAGCACTACAGGGCACACTGGCTACCTCACAGTTGCCACGCTGCCGCCGATGTTCATCAGAAGTGAGCATCCTCCGTCATTAAACTTTGGTAGAGATGGCTTATGATGCTTAGAGCAGTGATAGTTCAGTCCGGACGCTCGCTTTTAATTCACGTACGTATATTACTCTATCACGTAGAGTATATTACTCGAGCAACCAGACTTAGAAATAAGGTGGAATATCAGTTTAAATATAAGTCAATGAACAGATAACTATAGTTGTTGAAATATTACGTTCTGCAGTGGACTAAATACCCCATTGTCGATTTAAAGGTATATTGTGCAAAATAATCGCAGCTCTGGCAATTGAAGCCAATCGCACTTGCTTGCGGAAAATATTCTCGTCCATGATAAACACTGATATTCGAAGTTGCTTTCTATTCTATTAAAATTTGTAGTCTGCCACGTCTGCCGAAGACGTGGTTCGATTTCCACAGCGGCGACAATCTTTTCGTACTTTTCTACAAAATGTAATGTAGATTAGCACTAAGAAATTTTCAAATTCTATTTTTGTTTTGTTTCTACTTTTGTTTATTTTCGTTCTCAGAGAAAACTGCGCCAGCGAAACAGATCGAGGCAAATCTGACCGAAGTCACGAACGAGGCTATGGCAGTCGACGTTGCAGCTACATGATGACGCACCCATGTTACCATTTGCAAGCGAACGTATAATAATAAATCTGAATATATAAACAGGAAGTATTTTACTGTAATCCTCGATACCACCTTTAAACTATATTAAAAAAATGTTTTTTTTTTTTATTTGAGAAGGCGGCTCACCCTACGGGGTTATGCGTTGCCACCCCCCAATAAAGTTGTGTCCCTACTTCAGTCACCAGATGAAATAGAAACACAATTCCTCCACTTCACGCCGGTCTTCTATGAGGTCGTGGTACTTCCCCGGATAGACGAAGAAACTACAATATATTATAAGCTTAGCGTTTGTGTTGTTTCACATTGCATGCTTTCATTTATTGGTTTACTTCTGCTTTATAATCGAAATGATTTAACGCCCCCTGTATTTATAAAGAAGCGTTAACAAAAGGCTTCTGTTATATTTCCTGTCAAATTCTATAAATTAATTTAGATTAGCGCCATCTTATAGGTACGTAACAATAGATGGCAGTATATTCGTTATTATTTCAGCATTTGTATATAAGGGTATTTATACATACCAGTTTCTTCCCATGTATGAATATTCTTCGATAAATTATCTTCATTGCAGCGAATGCTATTTGTTATGGTGTAGCATTTTAGTATTATGTCTTCGCCCTAGCGTGGTATAGCCACGTAACAGTTGTCGCTGACGCGCGAATGGGCAGGTCCGGCCGGGTAAGTACCACGACTCCACAGAAGACCGGCGTGAAGTAGCAGTGTAATACTTGTGCGTTTCTTCAGGTGAGTGAGGTAGCCGGGACCACTTTGTTATAAGGTGGCACCGTATCTGCTACTCCAAGGGTGTTGCAAATGTAAATGGGTCGCGGTTATACCTTAATATCAGGTAACTGCCAGCTTGCTTGCCATTTTCGCACATAAGAAAAGAACAACCTGGCAGATACACAAAAAAGTTTCCATATATTTCGTACAATTCAATTTCATGCGTATAACCAAATATCGTTATCATCATTTTATCAAAAAAAAATATTTGATCCTAACTAAAAACGTCTTTGTAATTGTTGCACAGAATTGACAGATATTACACTCCATCTAACAGTTTACTGTTTTGTTAAAATATGTTCAATTTATTTGCTACCACTCAAGAAACCATAAAGTAGTATAGTACCTAATAGAATTTAAATAAATTTAAAATATTTTTTTTAATTTATTTTAAATTAATTAAATAATTTTAGATAAATTTAATATTGTAAATATTAGATCAATAAAAAAAAATTAAATAAACACAATTTAAATTATTTCATTTACATTGTTAGCACAGAAACTGCTGAGCTAATACCCTATATAATTTGAATAAATAAACAAAACAAAATAAGCTGGATAGATTTTCCAATAATCCATCTTGTTTCTACTGTAGTAAAATGTATTTATTTATCTTGTAGTATAAATTATTTTAAGATTATTTATACTACAAGATAAATAAACCTTACCCTGTTGCTATCATTTTTAGCGAAAATGAAACAAACAGTAATATTACGTGTCCTTTATTAATAAATTAAAATGAAAATGAAGACTTAAATATAATATGAGTTTTATTAAGAGCTATTTATTTCATATTTAACTTATGTACGCTATCATACAAATGAGATTTTAGTAGCCTCTTCGCGAAGGCAGTGGAATTCAAAAGTACCATACAAACATTTGGCAGGGTGTTTATAACATAATATATACTGTATAATTTCCTATCACAGCTATAATCGGCAAACAGTTTCATTGCTTTCGTTTTTCTTATGACTAACATTGTCATATTGTAGATTAATGGTGTCTTAAGACACGCCCTTTTATCGCATACATAGGTATACATAATATGGATTACAGTTTGACATTTGTCATAACAAATGACAAACTCCTACACAAACATGACAATTATAGTATACACAGGAAACATTTTACTTATCCTAGACATATAGTTAGTAATAGTTTAATGCGAGAAATCGTTTGCTTTAGTGGCATAATAACAGATATCAGATTGGGAAGACATTATTACAAAATGCAATATAAAACAAAATTTAAAAAATTACACCATGAAGTTTTATTACAGGAAACACGATGATTTTCTACTGAATCAAAATATTGACATAATGTACATTAAATAATTTACATTATGTCAATATTTAGTGTACAATGGAAATAATTTTTTTTTTATAGTATTAATGCAATATTATTAGGCATACCTTAAACAATTAAGACTTCTCTATTTCTATAGCTTATTTAGATGATTATTTATGATTAAAATGGTTGTACAAAGTTAAATATATAGGTGCATAATGGATAACATTTGAAAATGTAGTAGAGGTATGTATTATATCATCAATTAACTTACCAAATATTTGGATTTAATCAATTAATAGTGTAAGTTCCTTAATCTCATTAATTAATAAAAATATTAGTAAACCATAATACTAAAATGCTACACCATAATTGTTACTACATTGCTGGTCTAATAGGATATTAATATTAAATATGGACAGGTGTGGTATTTTACTGGTGGCAGAAATTGCTAATTGTTTAAACTTTGTAAGTCTTGATCATTGTAGAGTAAGACAAGTGTAGTGCAAGCGCAAAATGCATGACACGTGAAGAAACATTAACCATACCATACTTTGAATAATCCAAACACTTTTTATAAGTCAGTTTAGGAACTGCACATACAAAAAAGTGAACCGTAGTATAACTTATAAATTGTATGAAGTCAAATACATAGTTTCTAGCTTTAGGAATATAGCAGTGGAATAACACTTTAATATTAAATCCGCATCGAAACATACAAATACATTCTATGGTAGTAAAAGTCAATATCATAAATCCAGTCAAAAATCTTTTTTTTTTCAAATACAAGTCTTTCAAATATTAGCGATATGTGAAAAACATATAATTTAGATTTTTATGAAATAAAGGTGGTCAATAAACTACCTCTTCAGAATTAGTATAACAATAACTTACGGATAAACTCTCCACAGCGAGTATATAACTAATCAATAGGACATAGTACAAGGTTTTAATGTCAAATACTCGTTTTTTGTCATCTCTCAATCACTCATCTCTCAATAAAAAGGTTTTCATTGTGTCTCAGTGTTCTATAAACAAATTTAGAAAAAAAAAACAGCAAGAACTCAAGCTATTAATCTGATTGAATCACTTTTTACAAATAGATGGAACATGTGATGCACGAAACAAAACGATAGCTATCTTTGTCATCAACTTAATGAATAATGTTTTCGCCTTTTTAGTTGAAGATTATAGATAACTATTCACGTCACGGAAATTTGTTTTAAACATATAAAGCATTTATTGGTTATATACTCGTTGGTCCAATTTATGAATGTGGGTAGAACAGAGATATTATTTATTAAGGGAGCTAATATGGGTCTAAACTTAGATGTCAATATTGCCCATAAATCATAACTTCTTGTTATGTCATTATTAACATAATACCGTAAATTGTTTTATTATGTCGTGTATTAGGCCTTATAAATTATTATGTGGAGCTTGTTATATACGGAACTATTCACACCTGTAAGATTTCTAGAATTCCTCATAAAATTTCAGTATGTTTTATTAAAAGGGGCTCCAATTTAAGAAATGAGCATTAGTCTATACATAATATGGTCATCATGAGACACGACCTTTAAGTGGCAAACAAATTAGAATTACCACAAGTAAATTTTTTATAATAATATCCTTGAAAAAAAATTAAAAATTACTCAATATGACGGTTTGTTTATGCCCATAAAAAACACAGTTGCTATATTTTAGTCCTGGAGATCCGTAGTAAACGTCAATCTAGTAAGCATATGTAACACACTTTTATTTAATATGAACTATACACATATGCTATGCAATATTTAACATCCACATACCGTTATTAGTTATTTATCAGTTCACTCTACAGAACAGAACATTGTTCTACATCACACTCCAATAGTACTTTCACTACAATCAAAAAATTTCTAAACATTTCTAAAATTTATCAATGTGAAACAACTATGCAATCCTATTCAACAATCATCATTTTATTTGAATTATGTTTCAATACTAGTTAAATTTAATTAACATATTTGATATTTTTGTCACAACACTCAATCCAATATTTAGCAACTTTAATTATAAGATCGAAGTTTTAACTTTCGATCGCATCAATATAGTCCAATTCAATCATTGACCCCTAATGATATAACTCCTTCATTAATTCGAGAAAAAAAAATGGAAAATTTGAAGTTAATCAAATACAAAACAATCCATTTCATACAATTAAAATGAAAAATATTACACAAGTTGCTAGGTGGCACTTCAGTCAAGAAATTTAGAAACTTATAATTTTGTTTACTAAAACAATAGTATAATAGTTGGAAACTTCCTCTTTTCGCCGAAAACTAAATACCGTTGTAACATCATTTCAATTTGTAAATAATTATAATTACTGTAGTCTTGTCCGTGACGATAAAACGATAACATTTTTGATCTTAATATTTTATGTGTTTTACATATTCTCGTCTAGGTCGCCCAAAGGGTAAAGGGTAAACTGTAGGCAGACATGGTTCATAATATACTCTTCACCAATCTCTTACAATATTAGTTCTATAATCATCCTGGCGTTGGAAATTCAGGATTGCCGAATTAGTTGGAATATATTTTCAGGAGACCGTTGTTACATTTACCTGAAATCGCTGAAGTCCGTCTTCAGCTGTATGGTGGGCTTAGCCGGTCGGGACTCGAAGAGCGGCCTCTGCGGTTGCCTCTGCTTGTTTGAGCGGCTGTTCTGCTCCGCCTTAACGGCGCTCTCCAATCTTGCGCGTAGCTCGGGCGACTGCTGCATCATCGTCTTGAACTCCTGGAATAATTCATGAATATAATTATTCTCTTATGTGAGAATGTGGCAAGCGAGCTGGCGGTTCACCCGTGTTAAGTGATAACCACCGACCATTGAGATTTGCAACACCCGTAGGGTTGCAGAAGCGTCGTTACCTTATGATAAAAATGGAACCTGGCTCCCTCACTTGGCCGACGAAACGCAGTAAATAATTATTCGCGTATATCATTTTTTACGTACGTTGCAGGTAAAGTTGGTTGCACTTATATCTCTACGTGTTACGAACGCGTACAAATGAAATAGCCTTCCTTAGAGAAGAACATCATCTGAGGGTCGACAATATCGAAAGGCACAAAGAACGCCATTTTTATTATTTTATTTCAAATGAAACGGATTGAATGTTTACGACTCGCTTGGAACGTCATGTTTTGTATATTCATTGCTAACTTCACGCACACAAAAGCAAGGTGTGTAAACGCTCTTAAAACTAAAATAAACGCTTGCAGCTTTCCAGTGATCGCTAACAACCCGATCGACACCTCTCGTACAAAGAAATGACGTCACTGCTTGCTATAAAATGCGTGACCAGACCTGAGGGTACTTCGGCCCGACGCGCATCAGCCACTGCAGGGCGAAGTCGTGAAGAGAGCGCACGTGAGATGGCGCTGTCGACAACTCTGCGCCGTCGCGAAGGTAGGAGATCACGATGGGCACCAGCATCCGCAGCATTTGGATGCCTGCAATAGCAACGGTACCAATTACTGCCGTTTCAATCGGAAGGGTCACTGGCCGATAATCTGTTAACTGGTGACAGCAAGTGGAAGGGTACCAAAGGTGGAGATGGGAGGAACTGCTATTTCTCACCTCTATGAGGATCCTCTGTTTGGCAGCGGTAAAAAAATGCAAATATTAATATGGATTGATTCGAAGGAAGAGTGTAGAGTATCTGGATTATGTACACAAAATAAAGATATTACTATGAGGTCTTAAACTCCTAAAGGTGGGTACAGTACGGGACATGTTCGTTGAAAACACTAATAGCGCCAACTGTGAACAGCGAAATGAAAGCATTTTAAATAGACACAGAGAGGGAGAGGTTCAACCAAGACGGTGTTAAATTTGTTAGTTTGACCTAAAAGATTCTCGATGTCAGTGAAGATCTTAAGTCTGGACAAAGCATGTTATTCGATACTTAAATGAAATAAGGTGACGCAACAGAGCGACGGAATGAGTGTAAAAATGTGTGATGATGTCAGAAAAACAATGCTGTAGTGCGAGGGAGTATGCGAGACTTTCCGCGTGCGGAGGGAGTATTTCATCACCAACTAGAGCGAGGATGGAATAGAGGGTAATAATAACTGGACTACATATCGCCACGACAGGAATATATACTACACAGGGGTGCGGGCGAGACGGGGTGACACTCACGGAACCGGGAAAGGAGGCCCAGGTCACGTGCCTAATGGAGGGCATAACCGAGTGGATCAATCGCGGCGTAAGAAATATATGCTATACAGTGGTGCGAACGGGACGGGGAGACGCACGCGCGGAGTCGGGAGAGGCAACGAAGGCCACGTGTGAAATGGAGGGCAATAATGAATAGAGTGTACATCGCCGCGACAGCAATATATGCTATACAGTTGTGCGAGCTGGACGGGGCGACTCACGCGCGGAGTCGGGAGAGGCGGCCACCAGCTCGTCGAGGGCGTTGACCCCGGCGATGGCGGCGCGCACGTGCGCCGCATCCGTCGGCCGGCGGGCGGCGGCCGCGCGCGCCACCACGCGGGCGCCCAGAGCGCGCGCCCACCAACACACCGCGCCCCCCGCGCCGCCCCCGCCCGCCCCGCTGCCCCACACGCCGCGCAGCACGCTGCAGCACGACGCGAACGCCTGCCGCACACGGTACTTTTTATTAGACAGAGACAAAGCGAGAAAGAGGGGAGAGAGGCTCTGCCATCTTTTTTAATTCTGCACGGGTGCATATTACGTCGTACTTACGTAGCGTACGAAGCGCGTCGTGAACGCCAGTCGCTCCCCGCGTCCCTAGCGGAACTGACGGATTGGATTTAGCATAGGCTTGTCATAATCATATTATTTCTGTAAGCCTAGCCTTGTGACCTTGAATAGATAGCGTTTATATTCGTGAACTGTAATCGTAGTTTACTTATATAACCTCCGAACAAGCGAACACTTTGTGACCTTCCAATACTTCTAATCATAGTGCAAACAGTTCAGCTGGTGTTTAATGAGCAATACCAGCCATGAAATTGACACCGCGCTTTTGTATGAGAATTGCAATTACGGACACGTTCGTCTATATTTGCCAACCGTTAAGCAGATTAAGTACCCCTCCAGATTACTTGAATGCTGGAGTAAACGCAAACCAAATAATATCCCGTTCTTGTCAGAATGCGATATATGTTTCGCAAGAGCGCACACGTAGTTTTATGAATATTGTGTTGCTATATAGGTACAAGAACTTACATCATTGTCCCTTGTGTCGAGACATTGGCGGAAATGGTTTATGCAGGGGTAGTGCAAGGCGGGCGCTGGCTCAGCGCGGCCGAGCAGGGCCGCCATACCGCGGGCGCCGGTCACAGCTTCAATCCGCTGCTCGGGCGCCTCTGCAACCAAGTTTTTAAAAAAATATATAAGTTTTCAAAAGATGTCGATGATGACAATATTTCTTTCATTATTAAGAAGAACCCGCGAGATTATAAAACTACTACTAACACGGTTTAAATTAAAATATAAGATATCATATAATTGTTTGGATTAATTCATAAAAGCTCACTAAGGGTGGAATTTATTTCTTCCCTTAAATGGATTAAAATCATAGAATATCATAGAGGGAGTAAGAATCCACATGTAGCGGTGAAGGTATGTATGTATTAGCAAATACTAGCCGCTTAAAACTGCGTAATTCTTACGAATATTAATAGCGTCGACGTTTGCGTATCGTGATTGTGGCCGCGTACGTGTACGAAGCCACACTTGTACTTGTGTACACGTTACGGTACGTACACACAAGAGCACGCACACGAAGGCATCCGCCCCAACTAGAGTGTGAAAGTGCACGTGTGTGCGTGCGCGTGTGTGCGTGCGCGTGTGTGCGTGCGCGTACCGGCCTTGACGGCGTCGACGAGCTTGGCGAGCGCGCTCTGCAGCAGGCGCGCGTGTGCGCGGCGCGTGTCGGGCAGCAGGCGGGCGGCGCGGCAGTCGGCGGCGCGCTGCAGCAGCAGCACGCCCGCCTCCGCCGCCGCGCAGGAGCCGCGCGCCTCGCGCAGCACCTCCGTGCCCAGGTGCAACACCGTCGGCAGCAGCGACAGGGCGCCTGCGCCGTACCAAAATGAAGCAATACGGCTTGGTGAGTGGCGATAAGCGACGTGAGATCAAGTCGGCAGATGCCCCGATTATAGAAACTGTTCTACGGACTGTATCGCGTATCGGTTTCCAGCAGAGCGCCTGCGACGTGATATTGTGACACGTCTGAAGACGTCATGATTATAAAAATTGTTCTACGGATTTTATAGGGTAACATTTTATTTTATAATCCCTGCTACCGTCGATTAACTCTGACATTAGAACGCATCACATACTTATGAACTGTCTTTTTAATAGATTTGTGGCAGGGCCACGCAACAGCTTCCACTGTTGCAGGAATGGGCAGGCCCGCTCATGGAATTACCACTACATCGTAGAAGACCAGCGTGAAATGGGAGAATTTTTACGTTTCGTCTGGTGAACGAGGTAACTGAGACCATTCAATGAAGGTTGTCAACACATCTACAAGCTCTGCGGTGTTGCATACGTCCATACGCAGTAATTACGTCTCACGTCTTCAGGGGAAGGCCTAGCTCTCGTTACAAATTTCTTATCACCTTGGGGGCTCGTGAGCTCGGTGAGCTCGGACATGGCGGCGAGGCTCTTGACCAGCAGCAGGTCGGCGTGCACGCCCAGCCCCTTGGGCACGCCGATGACGCCCACGGCGCCCTCCGGCTTGAGCGGGCTGAGCGCCGGCAGGCGGCGCACGAGCAGGCACAGGCACGCCTCCAGGCAGGCGAACACCGCCGACCGGGAGGGGGGCAGGTCCCCCGTGGGCCCCCCCTCGCCCAGCGTGTGCACCGCCTCCACCACCGACTGGGGCACGTTGCCCTCGGACGCGTTCGGCGCCAGCTCTGCGGAGTTCACGACGTAATAAACTCTTAGACCGGTCGAAGTGGAAGTCAGTTGTGCTTATATTGTTGGAGTTAAATGTGTTTTTTTTTTTCGACTTGACAGTCGAAAGTATTTAGTCGCAGATATAATTATGCAGCGTACATATAAAAAGGAGTTCAGAGTAGTGTTATTGGAACTAAATATATTTTGAAGTATGTAAAGAGAAGAAATAGAATTGTGGAATAACTTTTAACGGAACGTGCAGTTGCCAAATAATATTGATTTAAGTTAATTGTCTAATAGTTTGAAAAGGAATTTCAAAACAATTATAAATAATCAGTGTTTATGTCGAAGACCTACAACTATAAAAGATCATAGGTAAAAACCCTTCCGCAGCCCCAAGAATTTTTAGGCAAAGAAAGTGCCAATTACTCGAAATTTAGCCCTCAACATTTCGTAATAATCAGAATAGGTATATCAATACAAAATGTTTCTCTTTAACTCAAAAAAAAACTATTTCGTTCACCAGAACCTCGGTGCCAACCGATAAAAGATTTTTGACTTAAAATATAAAAATAAAAAAGACGAGGACGACTTCTATATAAAGCGTTTCCTTCGAAATATTTTAAATTATATGACCAACGGTTTTGTGGGTGTACCATTCTAACAATGTAAAACATCCTTTCGTTCGACGTAGTTGACCGCCGATGAGACCAACTATTTCGTCAATACAGATAAAGTCGTGATAAAACCCGATACATCTGTGCACAATGCTTTTCCAGTGACTCGGATAAAATCAAAGCTAAATCCCTATACAACTGTGCCTTGTTTCTTTCTCCTGCCCTTATCCCACACTAGGTTGGCACATCATGTCCTTTCCTTCCACTTTCCTAAATCAGCCGTCAACTAAATACTGACCCTGCCCTTTCACAGATATAATATCATCCTCCACACAGTCTTTGCACCCTCGAACCACATTGATGTTCATCAATCTGTATTCATATTTAGCGCTGTGTGCTAGCTATAGCTAACCTTTAATCTTCGCCTGCATGTTAGCGTGCAACTGCTCCTTTGCGCCCGTGATGACCAGTTGCAGGACATCGGCGGCCAGAAGCAACGCCTCGATGCTGTCTTGGGTCAGACCCGTGCGGTGGATTATTTGGCACAGCTCGATCGCCAACGCTCTGCGAAATTAAAGTGTTCACACTATATAGAATGTCTTTTTGTTTGTAAAGAGTTGGCAAACGATCAGGCGGTTCATATGATGACAAGTTATTACTTCCGCCCATCTACAACACTTGAGTTGCAAATGCGTTCGATGCCTTTAAAAAATAAGGCCCTGAATTAGCCTCCGCAAGAGAGATTATACTTCCACTTCACGCCGGTCTTCTATAAAGTGGTACTTACCCGGACCATGCTGTATAACTGTGCGACTAATACGTGGAGAGCAGAAGCTGTCTTGTTAGTAATTATTAACTAACGTAAGTACGTAAGTGTATTTAGTAATAACGTGGCAACCTTTTGTAACTAAATATCAGAGGAAAAAGAGCCTCAAAGTTTCATAAATTTTTACGACTATTTTATTACAAAAACTCTTATTTTTTTCTAGTTTTCTAAAATATTCTTTTATCGCTATATTTATTTTTAAAACAGTGTTTATAAATTTAATAAAAGCTAAGCACTTACCTATCTTTTAGCAGGCGTGCCCTGTTTTCCGGAGCATCCAAAAGGGTCACCAAAGACAAGAGAACAGAAACTATGTTGCTGTCGCTCATATCGCGTTGTGCGCATAACGCCTCCATACATATTCCTGTAGAAGGGAAGAAAAGAAGTTTAAACAAGGAGTTACTTGCAGTAGTATATTATTTCTATTAAGTATTCCTGTCCGTTGTTTCCGGTAGTAAAAAAGGAAAAGAAATCTTTTTTTATGAACATAATACCCATTTTTTTGTAATATCAGCAAAATGTCTTACCAAATAGCAGGTGGAATCTTTCATCGACCGGCTCGAAAAATTCGAAATTTCCGTTCTCAGTCTTAGTAGCTCGGTTATCCACGGCATTGTCAGTATTTTCTGAAAAGAATATTCACTGATTATATAAAACTATGAATTATTATTGTTGATAAGTTAAAAGTAAGGAACATTCGAGGCGCTAGTATAGATGCTCTTAAGACTTTTGACGTTTTTCACCAACTGATTATAAAATGAGTTGGTGAAAAACTTGGACAAAATTACAATTGTCTCCAGCGATGTATCATTTAGGCTAGTTATTAAAATAGATTTTTACGTCGAAGTAATAGCTTTAATAAAATTAATCAGTGTAACATGTGACTATCGTAAATATATAAACTAATAGTCACAGACAACATTATGGCGAGCTTCTTCGAGGCCTCTTGTCAGGATTAATAAAATTTGTCACAGTCATTACAAATCTCAGACTGATCATAATGACTGAACAAGATGGTAGTCATAACTATTACCGTTATCGCGAGCGAAGCTTCTTCGAGGCCTCGTGGGCATAAAATTAGTCTCAGTTGTAAGAAATCTCAAAACAGTCACAATGACGAGGAAATGTGGTAGTCACAGTGACCATAACCGTTATCGTGGCGGGGCTTTGAGACCTCTTGGGAGAGGTCACAAACCTAGTCATAGTTGTTAGAAATCTGAGATAATGACAAACAGTCATAATGACGGGGCAAGGTGGTAGTCACAGTGACCGTTACCGTTATCGGGGCGGGTGATGTCGCGGAAGTTGGAGTTGAAGCGCAGCGCGGCGGCGTAGAGCAGCGAGGGCCAGGCGCGGGCGTAGTGGGCGCGCGACGCCTCCGCCGTCTCCGCCGAGTAGAAGGCGCCGCCGCCGTGGGGCAGCTGCGACGCGAACTCTGGAAAGGCCCACAGGTTCTTTAGAGTCCGAGCGACAGAGACGGAGATATCAATCTGTCTCGCGCGTACTCTTAGCATGAGGACACTGCGACGCGAATTCTGGACAGATCGCCGCGTTCCTTATTGTCCGAGGGACAGAGACGTAGATATGACTCTGTCTCTCGCGTACCCTGCTGGCTTTTGACTGAACGCGATAATCCGTCTGACAACATTTGTACACGGACGTTTGTATTATGTATGTGAATGTACTCACAAAAGTATGTATAATAAACGTATAACATGTTATAACAAGATATGATGTACGTACCAGGTGGCAAACTCAATAGGGCGTGGTCTTTAAGAGCAGCAAGCCAATTCTCTCCCAAGCTCTCCAACTCAGGTTCGACCAATTTCAAAAGGCTCTCGCCCTTTGACTCGAACTCCCCATACTCATCATCACCCTCTTCTTGGCTCGAATTGTCTATCTGATTGTTGTTTTGTAACACCTATAATCAAAACATGTTTTAATATACCTCTGGGTCCAGTGTTGACAAGACGAATCAAGAGTTTCCATATCAAAATTCAAAATATTAAAATATTTTAAAATAAATATTAAAACATTTTTCTATTTCTATTTTGGTTAAATATGACTCCTTAGTAAAAGAAGGAAAAAGTACGTACAAGCACTTAGTTCGAGAAAAGGAAAACTGAAGAAATTGATGAAAATTACTGCTGATAATCAGTTCAGACAGTACAGAGTAGAGCTTCCGAATCTCAGAGAAATAATTACGAATATCAGATTACAACATTAAATTTACCATACTATTAAAACTAGTTATCTTAGAAATCATAACTCGGAATAGGATATCGACAATGGTTCATTTAGAAACAATCTCGCATTTGTGAGCCCTCGGGTGTTGCAGGTGTTCATGGGCGGCGGTAATCACTAACCATCAGGTGAGCCTCCTGCTCGTTTGCCCCTTTTCTCCATAAAAAAAAAAAAAAAATCTCGATGAAACGTTTTCTTTGTGGAGTACCACAAGGTTCGCACCTCGTTCCGCCACTTGGCCAACTCGGCCTTTTCGTTGAAGGGCTTGGTGTGAAGCTGCTTCACGTAGCTGCCCGGTGCACTGTCATTACTCACCATCGCCACTATGTAAACCTAATAAAAATGGGGACATTAGTCTCAATCTTTTGTATATAAATGAGCCACAAGGACTCAGTCCCCAGTCGCTCGTTTAAATACAGAGACAAATATTAATTATTTATTTACAAGTGAATTAGTTATTTACAATTTCAAGTGCTTATTTGCATCTGCTGGGCAATTAAGGAATTTGAAGATCTCAATAATAATTTAAGAAAATATTTCGAATATTTGTGAAACCTGGCAATGCGCAGAGGAATCGCATGGCGGACGATACCTTAGCAAACTCCATGAGAAGTCCTCTAATTGATTGTTTTACTATAGGCCATTGTAGAAGCTGTTATTAAATTTTTCAGTTCACTTCAAAGAAATAAAAAAAGGATAATTAAACCTTTTTTAACCAAACCATGAAACGAATACTGTCTGTGAAGCTTTAGCTGGCTTATAAAAGTAAAATATACGAACCTCTGCCCACGCTTTCAAAATTGACAATTTCTCAAGTGTCGCCATGCTCTCGTTGTATATAAGAGTGGTATTCCCCTTTTTGTTCAGTTTATCCAAACTCGAAACCAGCAGCTGATGGACCCTGGAGTGAAATTAAATCGTACATAGCACAGTTAGTCCAAATAAAGTTAATGGTTTATAGCAAAATATATGTAACAACTACGTTGGCACCCGTCTAATGAGTCAAACCGCATCTTTATAAGGTTGCTAGTGCATCCTCATATATAATAAGTCTATGAGCGTCTGTGATTACCTAGCATAAATTAAAATCTTATCTTTATAAGGTTGTAAAATGTAAATGCATTTCTTTTAGAAGTCTATGGGTGGCTGTGACGACCCATCATAATTAAAATTTGCTAATTGACCACTATTTATTATAAGCAAAACCTTTCTTATAATCGAGTGAAGCTCACACGCCGCTGATACGAGATCTACTATGATCCCTTGACTGAACCCCTTCACCCCACCCGACCGGTAATTACTGAACCCCTTCACCCCACCCGACCCGATCAATGGACGAACCCTATTTACACCGGCGACAGGTAGCAAGTGGCTACAGTAGTTCTCTCGCCCTCCCCTTGCAACTCGCCACTGTCCGAATGATTTAACTGACCCCCCCCCCCCCCCCCCCCCCCCCCCCCCCCCCTTATACTACTGTACTTGTCTCTTTTGTGCTCTACTAAACACACGAGCAGTGTTACTCGCCTGCGCAGGTCGTCGATGTCGCGCGCCACCCCGCAGCCGAGCCACGCGGAGCACACGTCGCACGCGGCGGCCGTCACGTGGGACGCGGTGTCGCGCGCGAACGCCGGCCGCACCGCGGCGCCCACCTGTGTTGCAGTATCGGTCTGTATGTGGCCCACCGCTGGGCAACGGCCTGCTCGGCGCGGAGGGCACGCGACCCCACTTTTTTTCCTTCACTTTTGAGTACGTGATAATTCAGCACTTGAAATTAACAATTTCATCGGGATACGAACTCTGGTTACTGGAGTGTTTAAATTTCCCTTTGAACATGACTCAATGGCTCCTTGGCTCAGTTGCCAAGGTATTGACTTCGACGCCGGGGCTCGTGGGTTCCATTCCCACACGGGACAACTACTTGTGTGACCCACAGATAATTGTTTTAAGATCTGGCTGTTTCTCCGCGTTGTACAAATTTATGTGCGAAAAACGGGATAATGTTATCCTAGAGTAATGGCAATGTTTTCATTAAAAAAAGAACAAAAAAAGGCACTCCAGCAGACTTATTTTCTCCAAGGTCAATCAAGGTCACGGGCATAGCTAACGAGCTGGGAATGCTGGGCCGACCTGCGCCTGGTACTGCTCCAGCAGCAGGTGCCCGGGGAAGTCGGGCTCGGGCGCGCGCGCGAACAGCTGCACGATCATCTGCAGCGTGCGCAGCCCGCACAGGCGCAGCGCGTCCGACTCGCCCGTCGCGCCCACGAACGCCATCCGCACCAGGTCCGACAGGTGCAGCGACAGGTAGTCCCCTGCGGAAGCGCACCGATCGACTCCCACTCTCTATACTATAGGGAACCACTGGTATCTGCCCACTTGGTGTTGCAAATGTTCATCGGCGGTTGTCACTTAACACCAGTTAAAACACCAACTCGCTTGCCACCTTGGCACATAAAAAACATAAGATAAACAGATATATTTTATTTAAAAACCTATTTCCTAAAATTACGCACCATTGGGATCAGTTTTTAGTTTTTCCTTCGCCTTGACAAGGTCGAAATGTGCACTTTCGCCTGTAGCTTCGCATGCTGTCATGATTTTCTGGATGCATTCCATTGCAAACACCTGTAATTATAATAAAAAACATATAAGATAATGTGAATAAGTAATAAAGTCTGTAAATAAAACGCAATATTGTTCATTTCTTGTATTATACAATATAAAATTAATTTATTTTGTAATCAAAGAGAATATTACTGAATCAGGTTGAAGAAAAAAATTATACTCTAGAAATTTATCTTAATCTATTTTTAAAACTTACGATAAAAACAAATGTCAAATATAAAGACTATTTGTATTGTTTTATTATAGTAATACCGAATCTCTATCAATTAAAAGAAACGATCTGTGTACACAGATGAAAAATTATCAACAATTGTGACGATATTTGATGAATTGATTTGAATGAATTCCGTGGATAATTAATCATTAAATATTTTAATGCATTAAATGTTTAAAAAAATCATTTTCTATTATAAATTTAAACTTCAATATTCAAGAAATATACATAACCTAACTTTGTCATAAAACTAGTTTGCACTTTAATTGTCATGTTCCGCGCGATGTCATTTTAATACTTTATTAGCCATTATACATATAAAATACCAATTTGATCTTAATACATCACACACTTGGTCTCGTTAATTGTAACTTCTTTATATCATTATTTACTTATTGTAATAACTTTTAAATAAATAAATGTACCTTTGTTGACCATCTTGGCTGAATAGCTGGATGTGTGGATTGCTCAGATTCCGCATGGAATTCCGCTTGGTCGTCATCACCTTCGCCATCAAAGTCCATTTCTTGACTGCTGACGTCCTCTGTGGTTAAATTAGAAAGTTCTTAAACATCTTAAACGGGATGGTAAAAAGCAAACAAAGAGTTGGACATGAATCGTAAAAATGATATCGTAAACGAATATAGTACATGTAAAATGATGCCTTATATCTTTCTTTTATGTATTTGTCATTTTTTTTTCAATTTATGGGACGATTAAAAATGTATTTTAAAATTATCAGAAATGTTAAGTTTCCCTAGATTAATCAACAGTTTTTGATATGTTATTTATAACCACATCGTTATGCATCTTCTACTTTTTTCTGAATAGATAAAGAACGAGCAAGCAGTTCACACAAGGTAAGTTTTCTTTCAGTATCCAATGACGCCTGAAAAAACCCCCGCAAAATAGCTACAATGTCCATGAATAGCTAGCAGCACTCTTTATCTGCGTCAGGATAATATTAAATAAATAAATATTTCAGGACATTTTAGACAAACATAGCAATCTTTGCACTATCTGTTAACTTAACAAATAACTGATGAAATATTCAAACATACTTTTCTATTTTACATAAAATTATAATTGATATAAGAAAGAAAAATGTTCATTACAAAACGTTATAACCAGTAGTGGGGTTTGAACCTACACTATTTTAAGTGCAAGAGATAGATTCCACAGATTTCAGTGGTAGCCACTTGTGCAGTCACGTAAGGTGTGTCATATTACGCCGCGTCCTACATGAACGATCTAGAAGCGAATACAATACACAACGGATATTTATTGACGTTACCAAATGATTCCCGGAAAAAGTGCACAAGAAGTAAGCGCACAAAAGTAACCGTAATTTTTTCTATGTGTGCATTCATACATGAGAGATCATTTCCGTATAGGATAGATAATGCGTCGAATTAGGGATATCGAAAGTGAAAAAATACATCGACATTTATGAAAATATAAACATCGGCTTCGATATATCGAAGAGAAAATATCAGTCCTGGAAACCAGTTTATCCAAAAAAAAAGGCATGTCAAGTATTTAGCATAATTGATTTGAAAAAAAAAAAATAGTTTTTGATATCTAATTTCGACATCGAATATTCCGTATCGACATATCGATATTTTCCCGCTTACCCTACGTCGGATCACTGCACAGTAGTGAGGGGGCGAAAAGGCATGTCGAGTAATCAATATTCAACACGTACAGGCTCTGGGCACATAGCTCGAAGGACCAAGGGCCGCTGGGGCAAAAAGGTTCTCGAGTGCAGACCACGTGATGGCAAGCGCAGCCAAGATCGCAGGGACGCGTTGGACCGGTCGAAGTGGAAGCCAACGGCCCATGTTCAGCAGTGGACGTGCAAGAAAGAATAGTTCTCGGCGTCGCCAGCGTCCCGCGCACCTAGGCGCACGGTGAGCACCCGCTTGGCGAGCAGCAGCCAGCCGCGCAGCAGCCGCGCGCCCGCCGCGGCCAGCAGGCAGCAGGCGAGCGCGTCGCGCGCGTGCGACAGCGCCGCCGAGTCGCGCTCCGTGTCCAGGTACGCGAACAGCGCGCCCGGCAGCCCGCTCTCGGGGACCGTCACGCCTGCGACGCGCGCCAGTTATAATAGTAGCGAAAGTTTGCATGTACGGACAGATGTTCGTTACCCTCGCGCAAACACTGCTCAATGGATTTTAATGAAACTTCACAATAACTTATACATCAGATCGCGCCTCTTATATCATAGATCCTTACTAATATTATAAAGGCGAAATTTTGTATGCATGGATTGATGTTCGTTACTCTTACACGCAAACACTAATGAATGGATTTTAATGAAACTTCAAAATGATATAGCTTATACATCAGAGTATAAAAAGATATAGGCTAGACATAGGCTATAATTTATATACATATTTTATGTATATCTGTCTTTCGGTCTGAATGTCGCTCCTTCAGCCTATTCTAAGCAGACGTAGTAGCGGGTAGCAGGTAGTATTAAATAAATATTTTAGGACATAATTTTACACAACGTTCTCTGGTGCCAAATTAAGCAACGCTCGTACTACGGCTACTAGATAACTGATAAACATATTTAAAAATACTTTAATTTTGTAAATAAACACATATTATACATAGACACTAGGAAAACACTATCACACAAGATTTTTCCAGTAGTAGGCATCGAACCCACGTCGCTGGCGCAGGAGCGCATGTACACTGCCCACTACGCCATCTGAGTCACCGATTTCATTTCGAATTCGTTATCACATAATGTTGTTCGACTCTGCAGGAATCGAGTACACGTCTTCCGGATTGACGCTTTGATCACTAAATAAGAGCGGTCAGGAGTACCATATGGGCACAAGGAACGAAGAACCCAATTTAATTTTTCAGTTGAACTTCAAAGAACGTGGCTTTCGTACATGTATAGGCTGATACTATGAGCAAAATTCTCGTATCTATTTCGTTCAAAAAATTCGAAAATAATGAAGTCCTTTCTTATATTTACTTTATAAAATAAAACTATATACACTCATTACAAATGTTCAATGTTTAATGTCATTTTTAAGGTGTTGTATGTTATAAAGGATGAACATTAGACGAGCTAAGCATTGCTAAAAATACAATAGAACGAACGTAAATTTATGTCAAGAGTTTCGCGTCGTGAGGTCATCGGCCATTTAGCTTAGTTGGTAAAGCATCGAGAGTTTTTGTTCATTAATGTACAAAAAATTTACAATTTAAAATATTCCAAATTTCAAACAAGCTTTCTTTGAAAACACATCGATAGTGAATAAGAACAAAACAAACATATACATCTATTTCCGTTGCACTACTAGATGTAACTACAATACAAAGAATTGTTCAACATACCGCAATACGGCTTTGCAGGAACGTGATCTTTAGCCAGCAACGCGTAGCGGCACACCTCGGCCGCCTCCTTCTGCGACAGTTGCCTCAAGCAGCACAGCGCCGCTCGCCTCACTGCCAGCTCGGAGCTCGACAGGTCACGCTGTGGACCAATAATTGACCGTGACTTCTGCCATTGCACACAAGTACCACAACCTCACAAAAGACTACCGTGAAGTGGAGTTACATTTCTGAGTTTTGCCTGTGGGTTAAGTAATCTGAGCAAACTTTCTTAAAGGTTTGCAATGCATTTACTATCCTTCTGGTGTTGTAGATGTAGATTAGCGTGTCACTTAACATCAGGTCAACCGCCCGCTCTCCCTTACTTAAAAAGAAATACTACAAAGTGTTAGGTACTTGTTGTAATATCAGGTTACATCACAGATCTGTCAGCTATGTCGTGCCCAGATCGAAAGTACTATAGTACAACAATTTTTTCATTGCATTATAATTTTCTTTAAACATGAGCAATTTATCGATTCGATCCCCGGTGCCGGCTCCAATGAAATTGTTAATTTTAAATGCCGAATTATCACGTGCTCAGCGGTGAAGAAAACATTGTGAGGAAAGCTGCATATTTTCAAAATAATAACAAAAATTCAATTTTTTTCGAAGACGAAGTCCGCCAATCCGCAATGAGGCCGCGTGGTGGCCTATGCCCTGATACCCTCTGTACAGAGGAGGCCTTTCCCCAGCAGTGGCACAGTGGTATAGGCTCATACTACTGAGTTTGGATCGGGCGGGTGTGGCAGGGACTCACGCAGAGCTGCGGAACTAGCAGGTGCAGGTTGATGCTGCGAGGCGAGAACATCTGCAGCTGCTGCAGACAGCCGATCGCCTCGGCGCGCGCCCCGCCGCCGCACTCCTGCAGCGCGGCGCACGCGCAGATGAAGCGGCTCACGGCGCCACCGCCCGCTGGTGGCAGGAAATGGAACTATTTAATTCACTTTCAAATATTTAGATTTTTTTTTAAAACGTTGCCCTTACTTTAGGCTAACACTATCCTGTGTTGCAAGGACCATTTACATACATATATTTCACGTGAACAAACACCCAGATACGAAACAACTATCTGTGGGTCACACAAATAGTTGTCCCGTGTGGGAATCGAAAACACGATCCCCTACGCCGAAGCCAATACCTTGGCGACTACGCCACGGAGTCATCGAATTATCATAAATTAAGATCAATGTATATCACGAATAATGATATTACGTTCAAAATAAACTGTGAAGTAGTTAATATCAAAATAGGTAACCGTAATTGATCAACTATTGTAAGAATACGTTAACATTGATCGCGACTTTTGTATATCAAATAATTATTATATAATTTTAATATAGAGAATTTGTTGCAAATTACGTACATGTCGCAAGTTATCATTACATTCGAAATTGGGTGAATCACATACCTCTACTCCACATGCAACCACATGGTTGAATCACAATCAATTACTTTATATTTACAATTTGGAATAGAAATGGACTTCTAGAATCTAGATCTCATAATAAACATCTTAGAATTTTTTTGTCACCGACTTCAAAAAAGGAAGAAGTTCTCAATTCGACTGTATTTTTTTTTTGTTTGTTACCTTCAAATCTCTACCTACCTTCGAACCTTCTACCTCAGAACCTTCAAATGAGAGAACCGATTTTGATTATTCTTTTTTTAATTCTGGTAATCGTTTACGATCAGGTGAAATGTTTATCCCCTTAGTAATTTTCTCCAATAAAAAAAATTACCTATTTTAACAGTTTGTAACAGTAGTAGGGCCACGCAATAGTCTTCGCTGTTGCACGAATTGGCAGGCCCTTACGGGATGATATCGGCACGGCTAATATAAAAGAAAAGAAAAAAAAAATCACCTTGCAGCTCGGGCCCAACTACGGTGATCAGTGCCGAGAGCAAGCGGCCGATGCTCCGGTGCAGGTCCTCGAGGAATGGGGGCGAACTGAACAACAGCTTCAAGGCCAGGTTGAGGGTAGACTCCACGTGGCCCCGGAACATGGGCCCCGAGGCGTCCACCAGGACGGACAGCGCGTGCAGGGACCAGACCTCAAAGGAAAATTGAAAGTCAGTAAATGAAACTGGTTTAGGGATTTTATCGCGTTTTAATTTTAATTTTTAATTCCCAAGGTTTAGAAACCTTTAAAACGTTCATGGTCTGTCCTGTTACGACGAACGCTGGAAAAGGTTCGTTGGACTATCCGGGTAAGAATTGCGACCTCACTGAAGACTGGTGGGAAATTGTTATACTTCTGCGTTTCGTCTGGCGGGTGAGGTAGCCGGGGAGCACTTTATTAAAAGCTGGCAACGCATTTGCGTGCAACCCTACGGGTGTTGGAAATGTCAATGGGCGGCTGTTATCAGCTCACATCGCGCGAACCGCCAGCTCGTCCGTCACCTTCAATCGCAACATTCCAAATTCGAATACGGAAAAAAAAACAGAAAAAGGAATCCGTCCGTAACACCAGGCGAACCGCCAGCTCGTCCGCCACCTTCAATCTCCACGTTCCAAATTCGAATTCGATAAAAAAAAAGAAAAACCTGCAGCTCGACGGCGGCGGCGTCCTGCGCGAGCGCGCGCAGCACGGGCAGCGCCGGCGCGCTGGTGGCCGCGCCGCGCGCCCTCTGCACGGCGCCCACGGCGGCGGCGGCGGCGGCACGCGCGCCCCTGCCCGCCGCGGCGCGCGCCAGCGCCAGCACGCGCTCGCCCAGCGCCTGCGCCTCCGCCTCGGGCACGCAGCCGCACAGGCGGCCCGCGCACGACGCGGCCGCCGCGCGCACCGTCGCGCTGCTCGCCGACAGCCCGTTCTGTCGAGAGGGAAGTGAGTTTTGTAAGTTATATTTCACTTGGAAAATATGATCATAGCGAATTTTTACGATGCACGATGCGCGACGGCGATTACATGATGGCAACTGTACGAGCTACGCATAATTACGAAACGGTGTCAATTGCACGCCTCAGCATTTTTGTTTCAATGTAAAATAATCGGCATTAAGTTTGCAGTTCGCTGTCAGTCATCAAGCATGTCACGCGTTCTCATTTATCAAGTAGTTTATTACTTTTTAGACAATACAGTTATTTTAAACTATATCAAGTTCCAGGAAACCTAAATTCTTACAGCAACCGAAACGTAAAAAACAAAAAAAAGGGAAAATTATATACTTCTGCATTTGGTCTCGTGAGTGTGGTAACCAAAGCCCACTTTATTGAAAGGTGGCAATGCAACTGCAACCCTACGGGTGTTGCAAATGTCCATTGGCGGCGGTTACCACTTAACATCAGATGCCTCGACTTGATGACATTCTCACAAAAAAATACTAATCATATTATCGTTCAAATTTGGTAGATATTATAACTGACTATGAAGAAAACTAACAATGATAAGATCGGTGGCGATATTCTTCACAGCTTCTTGCCCCAATGAGCTCTTCAACTCAGCTAGCGTACGCAGCGCCAGTAACAGTGCAGTGTAAACGTTTATCTGGATCGCCTCTTGACGGGCGCCTTTAGACATCTTAATGCATTCCGCGAAGTGTTCTAGCATTTGCTGTCTGGAAAACAAAAAAAAATATATATAAATTTTAACATTGGCAATATATAAATGTTAACATAATTATTAACATTGGCAACCCTAAGTACAACGGGAGACGGAATGGCGCAACGAGACTAAGGGCTAACGGTCGACAACCCTAAGTACAACGGGAGATGGAATGGCGCACCGAGCCTAGAGGGCTGATGATTGGCAACCCTATGCACAACGGGAAATGGAATGACGCACCGAGACTATAGGGTTGATGGTTGGCAACATTAAGTACAACGGGAGATGGAATGGAGCGCCGAGACTAGAAGGCCGATGGTTGGCAACCCTAGGTACAACGGGAGAGGGAATGGCGCACCGAGACTAGAGGGCTGATAGTTAGCAACCCTAGGTACAACGGGAGAGGGAATGGCGGCGCACCGAGACTAGAGGGCTGACCGTTTGCAAACAACGGGAGATGGAATAGCGCACCGAGGGCTGACGGTTGGCAACCCTAGGTACAACGGAAGGTCACGCACCTGTGCTTGTTGGCGGCCCTGGCGAATATCTGCGGGAAGAGCGCGACGGAGGCGTCGATGACGGCCACGCCGAGCGGCTGGGCGGCAGGCGCGCCGCGGAACAGACGGCACGGGTCGTGCTCCAGCGCGCCGGACCCGCTCGCGCTCAGCGCCGACATCAGCTGAGGGGGGGAGACGCTTCGTGTTAGTTTATTTTTCTTAATTTGTAGATTAAATAAAAAAAAACTGAAGAGAAATGGCTTTTTTTGCAAGAGAAACTGATGTTAATTTCTTTTTTTTATTTTTGGGGACATACAACAGACATGTTTTTATTTTGCAGATAATGGTACGAAAACCTCCAAGCGCGAGTCCGACTCGCACTTGGCCGGTTTTATTTTTTACTATAAAAGGAGATTCCCAGATATTTTTGTCATAAACCGCTTTAAATTTTTTTAAAGTTTCCGCTTGACTCCCAGCAGCTCCATTTCTACCTTATTCCCAAAAACTCGACAAAAAATGTGAAGTGGTCTACGTTAGATGTATTCACATTTTTGCCCTGGACCACTTAAGGAACTAATAATTCTACATCTGAAGTAATTTTATAAGTAGAAAAGATTTGAGTTTTTGTTTTTTCTTTGTTACAATTTAAGTTAATAACTTCTGGACCAATTTCACAAATTCTTTTACTAATGTAATTAATATTATAAAGAGAAAACATTTTATTTTTTGTTTGTTTGTTTATTACGATTTAACTTAAAAACTACTAGAGTGTGACGTTCCACGTTTTATCGGAATATACACATCATCTTTCAAATCATATTAAATATTTCAGAAATCATTCTATTAGGAACCAGTAAGCACATTCAAATAATACGGTTGATACTTCTTTGCAACATATACTGACAATGGCTAAACGAGATTAGAAAACAACAAAAATGTTGAAAACCCACTTGTTCCTCAATTTCGGCATGATCAGTATCGTAGATCCAACTCTCTTCGCCGAGCAGGATAGTGTCCCGTGGGTGCATGGCGCTTCTTAGCATACCTGTAAGTAATAAAGAGCATATAATAGAACACGCAGCAAAAAGATACGTCTATATAACGAATATATGTTTTATGAAATAATCATTACAACAACACTGAAGATAAGATATCAGTATATAGTAGCATTTTTTTTTTTACTTTTACATTTTTTTTAAATTTTTTCACAAAGTTCTCTCAAACAACCCAGGTAGCATCATTTGTGTTTTTGAATGACATCATTTTTACACGTTTTACATGGATAAGTTGGCTAAACGGGTGTCACAGAATATGCGTTCGACACGGTACATTAATTATAATAACGTCGACCGATTGCATAAATGGGCCCGAAACGATTAGCAGATGGCAAATTTTATCTACTCCCAAGGTCGACTGGAAGAGAATGCTTATTAAGTTGACGTGTAAACAATAAATTTTTAAATAAATGGCAGAACTTTATTGCTGATTTTATTGATATTTGCCTGATAAGCAAGTAAAGTGATTCTAGGGAGGAATGCAACAAGAAGAGGAGGTACTGCAAAGGGAAATGTCACCTTTCCCAGATGAGCTCAGGCATATAGAAAGGGACGGGTATGTTCCACAGGAGATAGGACAAATATATTTTTATGGTCATATTTTGACCACTCCCCCCCTTTTCCTCCTCCTCCGTAAAAAAGACACTGAACGAGCGCAGTGTTGTGGCTCCTGCTAAAATGGAGAAAGAGACAGGCTAGGACAGGTCAACGTGAAGATCTGACAGGCACGCAGCGATGATGTAGCTGGCGAGCGTTACAGCAATATCTTCGCGCGGGAGCAAGAGAAATATGCAACAGTCGGCGAGCACCGGAGGCGACGTTGGCGCCGCTGACTCATTAAGACGACGGTCATTGACCTGTGCGAGCGTGACGGCAATACGTTTACGCGGGAGCAAGAGAGACGGGTACCGGGCGGGTCGCATGGGAGGGGACATTGGCGCGGATGGGGTTCGCGTAAATTTATTATTGTCACACTCCCTAAGACAAAGGTCATTGCCCTATGCGAGCGTGACGGCAGCATATTCGCGTGGAAGCAAGAGAGACGGGCGATGACAGGTGCACGAGGGCACGCACCGTTGGCGATATGGTATTGCCGTCAAGCTCATTAAGACGGCGTTCATTGACCTGTGCGAGTGTGATGGCAAACACATTCACGAGGGAGTAAGAGAGACGGGCGAGGGCGGCACGCACCGATGGTGAGGTTGGCGCTGCTGGGGTCCGCGCAAAGTTATCACCTTCACGCTCACTAAGACGACGTTCATTGCCCCGTGCGAGCGTGACGGCTATACATTGGCGCGGGAGCGAGAGAGACGGGCGACGGTTGGCACGCACCGGTGGCGACGTTGGCGCCGCTGGGGTCGGCGGAGCCGGCGAGCTCGGCGGCGAGCAGTCGCAGCAGCGGCGCGGCCGGTGCGCCCGCTCCGCCCAGCGCCGCGCACGCCTCGTACAGCCGCAGCCGCAGCAGCGCCGCGGGCGCCTTCAGGGCGCCGCCGTAGCCGCGCACCACGCTGCCCACGCTGGGGAACGCCGCGACATCGACGGATGTAACATAACGACAAAACCATGGCAGGGCCTCATATTTTAAACGGTGAAAGAATTACTTCAAAATTATATATGTATAATTCGTAGGATTGAATCAAAAAAATTGTGGCCTTTTTCTCTCTTTACATTCAGCTTGTCGTTACATTTTAATTGCTTATTACTAATACTGAATTAAATTAATTCTACACCACACACAAGTTGTTATACTTTTGATTCTAACAGTCCTTTTTTACGTTGGAAAACACCCTTTATGGATAAAACTGTATGTTAATATTAAATGAACTAATTACAGTCTAACAGTCTCCATAAATATACTAACTTAGTGAGTACAGCAATTGCTCCATCGATGGGCTGGGTAAGTCTCTTCGCGGTATCGTCGTTATTGACGAGCGATGGACAGTGGATGAGCAGACTGTGCAACGCTGATAATGCACCAGCACGACCTTCCAAAGTCACCTGCAAAAATTCGATTTTATCAGTTATGTTACTGTGGTAGGACCACGCAACAGTTTGCTGTTGCACGAATGGGCAAGTCCGTCCGGGGAACTACCGCGACCTCACAGGAGACCGGGGTGAAGTGGGAGTTTTATTCTTCTGTATCTGTTGTCTGGTGAGTGATTTAACCAGGGATCACTTTATTAAAAGATGGCATCTGCAACCCTACGGGTGTTGCATATGCCCATGAGTGGAGGTTATCGCTTAACATCAGGTGAACCGCCAGCTCCCTTGCCACCCATCATACATAACAAAAATATATATACAGCGTGTCGTTACCATCGCGACAATAAATGAACACACGTCTAACGCAACTTACCAATAATCGAAAAAAAATATTAACGTTTAACAAAATCCATAATTAAAAAAAAAATATTTTTCAAACAAACTAATTAAGTAAAAAAGAAACAAAATTTGTAACATCCTTTACAACTCGCGCCACAGCGTCGCATTACAAGCCTCTCCTTCTAACAGTATGTTTTGTCTCTTTTAAATTCATTCAACCCATTCATATGCTTTGTGACCTTTACAAATGAACTTTACGGTTTTATACGTAAGGCTGTTCTAAAATTCTTTGTTTTGGAAAATTTAATAACTCGGTAAATATTGATGTTTAAAGAATGTAAATGTTTAATACAATTTTTAAAAGTTATCCTCTATATGTGTGTTCATTTACTGTCGCGATGGTAACGACACGCTGTATATTTTTTTTAAATCATTGCCCTTACTTTAGGATAACTTTATCCTGTTTTGTAAGGACGTTTTACAAACATACATTTCACGCGGACAAACACCCAGATGCGAGACAACTATCTGGGTCACACAAATAGTTGTTCCGTGTGTAAATCGAACCCATGACCCCCGACGCCTAAGCCAATAGCTTGGGCAATGCGCCACGGAGTCATCATATATAAGCTCTTTGAAAAAAGTTGAGTATGACTGAATTCTTACCTGCCAAGTAAAAGCGTCTCCCCTCGCCTTTTCAGATTCCAACTCTTTGGCCGAGCGCGGAAAACTGTTTCTCCACAAGAGTAGCATGCGTGGCAACAAGCCACGTACAACTGGAACACCTGCAATGGATCAGATTTTCTCGTGAGTCTGGTGTTCCACATATTAGGGGCGGCCAATCGTGACAAAAAATTCACTGATTATTACAAGGTATATGATGGGCGCTGAGAAAGCAGTGGTTGGAACTTACTACATGGGCTGGGCGGCCAAGACTACAAATCAGCAACTGTAGCCGTCAATTCTCTAATCCATTCATTTAGAATGGATTCCAGATACTTTATAAACACATCATACAACTACTTAATTACGACGCACTAGAACAAAGGCGATTCGCTTTATCATTTATCATCCATACAGCTTATGAATGCAACAAACGGTGTCCGTCTCTCCATCCGATTACAACGTAGGCGTCTTCAAGGCAAGAGTGAATAGGTTTTTTATCATCAGGTGGGATGACAATCAAGCTTTGGCCAGTTTTCAATTTAAAAAAAAAGAAGGAATAAGTAAAGTGAGGTTATCGACAGATCAATTGCAAGCTATGAGAGATAGCTAGGTACTGAAGTTTATATTTCAGGTACGCTGGGCCAAAGGATCTTTAATCTATATATATACAGCGTGTCGTTACCATCGCGACAGTAAATGAACACACATATAGGGGATAACTTTTTAAAGTTGTAGTAAACATTTAAATTCTTTAAACATCAACATTTACAGAGTTATTAAATTTTCCAAACCAAAGAATTTAAGAACACCCTTACCTATAAAAGCGTAACGTAAAATTCATTTGTAAAGGTCACAAAGCATATGAATGGGTTGAATGAATTTAAAAGAGACAAAAGATACTGTTAGAAGGAGAGGCTTGTAATACGACGCTGTGGCGCGAGTTGTATAGGATGTTACAAATTTTGTTTCTTTTTTACTTAAACTTTGTTTGAAAAATATTATTTTTTAATTATGGGTTTTGTTTAACGTTAATATTTTTTTATGATTATTCGCAAGTAGCGTTAGACGTATGTTCATTTATTGTCGCGATGGTAACGACACGCTGTATATAAAAGAGAATTTATGTGTGTATGTATGTGCACCTAAAACTCAAGAACTATGGTTCTTCCTCGATGATGGCACCAGCTAGCGATATCATAACCGCCGCTCCCTTCGTTGTCAAAGGTAAGGCAGTGTGAGCTATTCCCCCCCCCCCCCTCTCACCGAGGGTGCATATGGCGCCGACGACGAGCCAGCCGGCGTTGGTGCGCGCGGCGGTGAGCCGGCTGCTCTGGCCGGCGGAGCGCAGCAGCTGCTCGGCCGCGTTGAAGGCCACCTTGCCGCGCCCGTGCGGCACGCCCAGCGGCGAGCGGCGCACCGCGCCCAGGATCGCGGCCAGCGCCGCCGAGTAGCCTGCGAGGGGAAACTGGCACTCAAGTCTATCGTCATAAGGGCGCATTTCCATTGCGGTGACTTATCGGCGGAGCGCTCCTAGCGTCACCGAGTAGCCTGTGGTCCGAAAATGACACTTGAAGTAATTTGAATAATGGCGAATGTCCATTGGATACGATTTTAAAACGCCACGCTTAAATCTATCTCGCGAAATAATAACAAAAAAAAATGTATTTCGAAGATATGTGAAGTCCGCCAATCCGCAGTGGGGCCGCGTGGTGGACTATGCTCTGATACCCCCTGCATAGAGGAGGCCTTTGCCCTGCCCAGCAGTGGGACATGTATAGGCTGTTACTTTACTTTTTTACGCTTAAATCCAACGCCGCCAAGTGGACTGCGGACCGAAAATCACACTTAATGTAATACACGTAATGACGTATTTCCATTGCTAGACACGTTTTTAAAATGCAACTTAAATTTATATGCGGAGTTGTAGTTGAAATTATAATTTCATTGTGGAAATTGTAGTTTCATTGTGGTGCTGTGCAAAAGAAGTGAATAGGACACTAGCAATGGTGTTTTTAATTGATTGTCAATATTCGGCATGCATTTTAAACTAATTATCATTGTGAAAACGTACTTAGCTTATAAGTCACATGAAACTCTGCGGTAATTATTCAAATATACTGCTGCCGAAAGTGGATATAACTTTTGGTCGAAAACAAAAAGAAATATTCGGCATGCTAATAATTAATAACATTCGTTATCCTGTCGACAAGATAACGGATATTAGTTTTGCAAAGTGTACCGCAACCCTGAAGACGTTCTTTTAGACCGATAATAATGATTGCTAAATTAAAGTTAAAGTTAAAAAGAATCGCTGTCACAACTTTTTCACAATAAAGTGTCTGCTTGTAGCCATACGGTATTTTGATCACTGCCCTGTCAAAATCATCAATATACGTATACTCTACATGAAATATAAATACGTAAGGTAAACACGTTACCTCCTTTAAGTCTCACAGTCTGATAAAATTAGATTCGACTCATGGCCGACATTAGCCAGTACGATGTTTTCTTTTACGTTAATTCTGACTAAGGAGGTATGCGTGTACAACTCGACAGAGCCTTGTCGTGCCTAAGCGTGACGCGAAACGTGATGCGCGGACGCGGCGTAACTACGCGGAAAAGAGATAGCAATGCCAGAGAGGGACGCAAGAGCGTGGCGGACGGACCGGAGATGTGGTGGGGCGTGGGGCGGGCGGCGTCGAGCGCGTCCACGCAGCGGTCGAGCAGCGGCGCGATCTGGGCGGGCAGCGCCTCACAGACGCCGCGCAGACAGCGCGCCGCCGCCAGACGCGCCGCCACGCACGGGTGCTGCAGCACCTGTCACACACAACGCACAAATGAGAAGCCGCGATTGGTCGTCGGTCGAGGTGAACGGTCCAATCAACTTCGATTTACACCGTTCGGACGCCGCGATTCGTCGGCCCAGTTGGGCCGTTATAGTAGTACATACTAGTTAGTATTGGACGCAATTGGTAATCATTCCAGGCGGACCAATCGATTTACACCGCTCGAAGACCGTGATTTATCGGGGCAATACTTTATGACACAATCTCTATTATTTCTCAGAGGTGATTTTTTGTCGGTAAGCCATGACTTCCATAATTCTTCATCGAATCTAACGATTACACACACCATTTTAAGGGCATATGTTTACCGTCATTGGCGAAAACTAAACAAATAGCATTAAGGGCGTGTTTGCGAAATCTCGCGGAATCTGCAAAAATAGGGGGTTTTCAGGTACATTTTGCGGCAAAACGAAACGAATATAATGTAAGTAATAATTATCACATATAGATCCCTCCTTCATCTTCAAATGGTAGATAGTTTTTAATCGAAAATTTTGGTTTATAATATTGTAAATGAGAATTTTCGTGACCACTTCACTCAAAATGGACGAAATCCTGTTGGGTTTAGGAACATTTTTCTCTTATTTAATAACATATTTTTTTTATTTAAAAATATTTTATGTAAGCACACATGTTCAACTCAAAAAGGTAGCTACATTACGTATCAAAATTGTTGAAATTAGTTTCAGAAAAAAATAAAGATTAAAATCTATTTCTTTCACATTTATATCTTACGCGTGAATCTTAAGTGATTGACATAAAGGTTATTTTACTGGTCACTTTTTTGATTTATTCCACAAAAATATTTAAAGAAATATTAGTCGGCGCTCGGCTGCCGTCATGAGTGGTCACTATGTCGCTTATAAACAGCAGCTCGTGAGGAAAAAGATCGCTGTACGAATACAAAATATTTGTCGTGACAAAGTTGATACTTTACACATCATGTTCGGACTACGAACGACAAAAGTAAACTATAATTCACACTTTGTCATATTTTTACTAGAAATTAGTAGGGGTTAAAAATTCATATTTCGTTACGGACTTGATGGAGTGACCTGAAGGTGTACTTCGAGAACTGCTACTGGAACTAACAGACGAGATGAGCTACGTATTTCGAGTTTGGGCTAGTTTTATTAGGTATGGTGAGACCTTGCCTTCTGACTAGATGGAGTGAACTGAAGGTGTACTTCGAGAACTGGAACTAACAGACGAGATGAGCTATGTGTGTCGAGTTTGGGCTTGTTTTGTTAGGTATGGTGAGACCTTGCCTTCTGACTAGATGGAGTGACCTGAAGGTGTACTTTGAGAACTGCTACTGGAACTAACAGACGAGATAAGCTATGTGTGTCGAGTTTGGGCTTGTTTTGTTAGGTATGGTGGGACCTTGCTTTCTGACTAGATGGAGTGACCTGAAGGTGTCCTTTGAGAACTGCTACTGGAACTAACAGACGAGATGAGCTATGTGTGTCGAGTTTGGGCTTGTTTTGTTAGGTATGGTGAGACCTTGCCTTCTGACTAGATGGAGTGACCTGAAGGTGTACTTTGAGAACTGCTACTGGAACTAACAGACGAGATAAGCTATGTGTGTCGAGTTTGGGCTTGTTTTGTTAGGTATGGTGGGACCTTGCCTTCTGACTAGATGGAGTGACCTGAAGGTGTCCTTTGAGAACTGCTACTGGAACTAACAGACGAGATGAGCTATGTGTGTCGAGTTTGGGCTTGTTTTGTTAGGTATGGTGAGACCTTGCCTTCTGACTAGATGGAGTGACCTGAAGGTGTACTTTGAGAACTGCTACTGGAACTAACAGACGAGATGAGCTATGTGTGTCGAGTTTGGGCTTGTTTTATTAGGTATGGTGAGACCTTGCCTTTTGATTTGTTGGAGTGACCTGAAGGTGTACTTCGAGAACTGCTACTGGAACTAACAGACGAGATGAGCTATGTGTGTCGAGTTTGGGCTTGTTTTGTTAGGTATGGTGAGATCTTGCCTTCTGACTAGATGGAGTGACCTGAAGGTGTACTTTGAGAACTGCTACTGGAACTAACAGACGAGATGTGCTATGTGTGTCGAGTTTGGGCTTGTTTTATTAGGTATGGTGAGACCTTGCCTTTTGATTTGTTGGAGTGACCTGAAGGTGTACTTCGAGAACTGCTACTGGAACTAACAGACGAGATGAGCTATGTGTGTCGAGTTTGGGCTTGTTTTGTTAGGTATGGTGAGATCTTGCCTTCTGACTAGATGGAGTGACCTGAAGGTGTACTTTGAGAACTGCTACTGGAACTAACAGACGAGATGAGCTATGTGTGTCGAGTTTGGGCTTGTTTTATTAGGTATGATGAGACCTTGCCTTTTGATTAGTTTGAGTGACCTGAAGGTGTACTTCGAGAACTGCTACTGGAACTAACAGACGAGATGAGCTATGTGTGTCGAGTTTGGGCTTGTTTTGTTAGGTATGGTGAGATCTTGCCTTCTGACTAGATGGAGTGACCTGAAGGTGTACTTTGAGAACTGCTACTGGAACTAACAGACGAGATGAGCTATGTGTGTCGAGTTTGGGCTTGTTTTGTTAGGTATGGTGAGACCTTGCCTTCTGACTAGATGGAGTGACCTGAAGGTGTACTTTGAGAACTGCTACTGGAACTAACAGACGAGATGAGCTATGTGTGTCGAGTTTGGGCTTGTTTTATTAGGTATGGTGAGACCTTGCCTTTTGATTTGTTGGAGTGACCTGAAGGTGTACTTCGAGAACTGCTACTGGAACTAACAGACGAGATGAGCTATGTGTGTCGAGTTTGGGCTTGTTTTGTTAGGTATGGTGAGATCTTGCCTTCTGACTAGATGGAGTGACCTGAAGGTGTACTTTGAGAACTGCTACTGGAACTAACAGACGAGATGTGCTATGTGTGTCGAGTTTGGGCTTGTTTTATTAGGTATGGTGAGACCTTGCCTTTTGATTTGTTGGAGTGACCTGAAGGTGTACTTCGAGAACTGCTACTGGAACTAACAGACGAGATGAGCTATGTGTGTCGAGTTTGGGCTTGTTTTGTTAGGTATGGTGAGATCTTGCCTTCTGACTAGATGGAGTGACCTGAAGGTGTACTTTGAGAACTGCTACTGGAACTAACAGACGAGATGAGCTATGTGTGTCGAGTTTGGGCTTGTTTTATTAGGTATGATGAGACCTTGCCTTTTGATTAGTTTGAGTGACCTGAAGGTGTACTTCGAGAACTGCTACTGGAACTAACAGACGAGATGAGCTATGTGTGTCGAGTTTGGGCTTGTTTTGTTAGGTATGGTGAGATCTTGCCTTCTGACTTGATGGAGTGACCTGAAGGTGTACTTTGAGAACTGCTAGTGGAACTAACAGACGAGATGAGCTATGTGTGTCGAGTTTGGGCTTGTTTTGTTAGGTATGGTGAGATCTTGCCTTCTGACTAGATGGAGTGACCTGAAGGTGTACTTCGAGAACTGCTATTGGAACTAACAGACGAGATGAGCTATGTGTGTCGAGTTTGGGCTTGTTTTGTGAGTTTTTTTGAGACCTTACCTTTGAAATTGATGTATTGGCATGAAGGTGTAAGAATACAGTAAAAAAGTTATTTAAAATATGGAACTATGTATTCTTCATCAATTCTGTGTATAAATATTTGTGAAACATGTTAATATAAAAAAAATTAAAATTTAGATGATAATTATGAGTCAATAGAGTATAAATATAAGTCAAAGTAAATCACAAGTCAAAGTAATGAATTTTTATTATAAACATTCTACATTACTTAGACATGATTAAATATTTTAAATGTCTAATTTGACAGTGTACAGATTTTAGAATTTTCGTTTAAATTTAAATACTCCGGGAGGCCTATGAACCTATCTGGTATTTTATTATAAATTCTTATTTCCATGCAGCCAAATGTTGGCCAAAAGTACACCTCATGTAGGAAAGTTGTATGGATAATTAAAAATACAAGTATTAATAAACAAATTTGCACACTTGCAAATTGTAAGATTAGGCATGTCTAAAAGGTCATTTTTTTGTATATTCCAATGAATAGGTGTAATAAACATGTACTTCAAAAGTTTCGAACGACAGCTATGTGGCAAACTTTTTGTTTCACGTTTATGACCCCATTTATCGTTTATTGTTTTGTCGTGTTTCGCACTGATCAACTTTTATGATCATGGATTCTGCCTAAAATAATACTTAATTTTTTTAATGACTTGCAATCTTTTGGAACAAATGGTATCTATAGTAATAACGTCTTTAAAATAGGCAAAACACGAAAAAAAAAAATAGTTATGTAAAAATGTAGTGGGTCTCAACTTAAATTATCAAAGACTTATTTTTATGGCACAGTTATCACATACAACATTTATACCTCTTATAACTCAATTGTTGTTTCAGATGCCAAAGCCTAAAACGATAAAATTTTAGCAGGCTACTACTTCGATATAGATAACAAAAATAATTAAATGATAGAGAACTATAAAGAAAAATCACAAAGATCCGACACAGAGCACCCCGACTCCGTGTGGTCTTCCCTATCCATAGAGTGAACATCAAAAGGCGGAGCCAGAACCTCGTGTCGGAGGTATAAATTGGCCTCGCGGGCTTGCTCCACCCAGGATCGACATAGCGACAGTTCTGGCGAAGAGCATGGAAGAGTCAAATTAAAAAATAAAACAATATTTCTTTAAGCTATTGCACAGCTTTTATCGCGGGCTTTGAGCGCGGCGAACGAATCAATAAATTCCGTAACGAAAATAAAACCTAATACCACCCACTCCGCCTACCACGCAAGAGGAAAGATTTGATTGTTTTTATGCATTGAATAGGCTCCTTGTAAGCTACATTATCCCCGGATGACATAGATATATTAAATTTTCAAAAAACTAGGAATCCTTACTAAAACTTGAATAATGTAACCCAAAGTGTACAAAAATTACCTAAAATATTGTTTGCATCGCGTGCGCTGCTAAAACTATTGATAATTGTATAAAATAATGTACTACGAATTTTCAGAACACATCATTATTTATAAAAAGTGTTTCGACAGTATATGTCTAACTATTATAGTTATGCCACAATAAGTATTCTTTTACTTTAAAATTTTGATTGAAATGCCGCCGCTAGAAAAGGCTCTTTATTTGTATCTTGGTATTAATCCTTATAAAAATTTAAATTACTTTATATTTAAGACTGTTTCAATATCTTTATATAACTTTTTGAATGATTAAATTCGGACATTCCATTCGAAAGAGATCACAAGTTTAAAAATGTTAGTATATTGTAATTTAACTATCCAGAGCTTAGTGACTGACTTAGTAGTTCTTATCATTTTTGTAAATAATATAAATTAATTATATATTATTAATTATAATATATAGTAATTATTATATTATTAAAATATTATTTATTAACATAAATATATATATCAAAGAAAAAAATACTGCATAATTAAATAATTATAATCGCATAAGTTGATAAAAGATGCTATGCTATAGCTTTACCCCAACTGAGCCGAGTGCGACAGGTTTTTTTTTATAAAAATGTTTTTTAATTTTTACTAGTTTGTTTCCTTCGTTTTATTATTTCATTTTTATTTTCTAGATACTAGCCCGGCTTCGTAGGCCATGCTATTTCCAATTCATTTACAGAAAATTATTTTTTTTAACATTTAGCATGAATATTATTGAATCAGCAAAATGCATTCAGAATACGATACAAAGTATTTTACTCAATTCGTTAGCGGGTTTTACCTAATTATCTGCCTACATAGCTACCTTCCTACGTACCCTACCCATTACCTACCTATCAAGCTATCTACCTACCGCACGCATAATCAAACATGTATAAAACAAGCTTCGTTTTCTTCATGAAAATTAATTAAAACATAAAATTAAATTATATACATAATTAATTAAAACGCAAATTATCAACAGCTACGAGCTTTTAAATGAAATTTAATAAATTATACCTAAATAATTATATAAAAAAATATTCAGTTTAAAAACTTGTTGAAAACAAATTTAACGTAAGCTTAAAAAATAAATGACTTCAAATTAAATAAAAATATCAAGTTGCGTCAGTTACATAAAGTTTCGCTGCTTCGCGCTTGTCGCTGTGTGCGTGAGCCGTGCACGTGTAGTAGTACGCCTCTGTACCTAAAATTGAAGCGCGTGAATTCGTAAACGCGTCCTTAAGTTAATGTTTTCATAAAAAAAACTTTCCTTTAAAAATTCCAAAGAGTGTATGACAATAGTATCGTATGGCAATTTGTATAAATGAAAGATAGCGAAGTAGACTGAAAAACCTTATTACTTAAAATAAGATAATCTATCAAAAAATCTATTCTATCAGATTATCTATATAAGAATCTATTTAAAAATTATTTTTTAAATATACTAGACTAACACTAAATGCAAAAATTAAATATAGGAAAAGTTACCAACAGGGCAGGGCAGGAAATGCATCTTTTACTCATTTTTGCCATTGTGAACTAAGTTCATTAGAATTATGACTACAATGAATCTTCTAGGTAACAGTGGTTGTCACACACAAATCAAGTCCATAGGACTCAACATGATCCTCTTTACAAACAACCCACCGTGAATATCGTGTCGATCATGTTGAGGCCGGTGTCGGTGGTGAGGTTGTGCACAGAGGTGCCCAGCTGTTCTGCCAGCTCACCAGCCTCGGTGAGAGCGCACACCAGCAGGTGCTGGCTGAACAGGGTCTCCTGGAAATCGAACAGGCAAAATTCAATATGCATGTTGGCTATGGTTTATTTACAAAAATACATATCAAGAACATTTTTATAAATTTTGATTAATTGCAAAATTGTTTATAGCATTACGAAAGGGAAAGAAAATCGTAAAATTCTACAAATTTATTATATTGCAGTATTGGGAACATGTTTTAAATAAGGGTAAAATTAATAGCTTCTCCTTTTGAAGATCACATAAGCAGCCCAGTTTGCACCTGAAATGACACCTTTCTGGAAATGGAAGTAGGAAGATTGTACTTACTTCCACTATCATTTAGAAACTTTCAATTGTGAAGGAAAACATTGTGAGAAAACCTGCATATTTTCGAAATAATAACAAAAAAATGGTGTTTATACAGCGAGGCTTTTTTAAGTGTATCCATTTTTTTTAATTAAATTCGATACATAAATAATATTATATAAAAAATGATAAATATTTAAAATCACTCATAATTAATTAATTACATTCATTTTAACTTATCTCAAAAAGTGCGTGATTTATGGGAAACTCATTTATTTTACGCCCGATCATTCATAACTAGCACGCACACAAGTTCGTTTCAAAAGTATACGACGCCTTTAATAATGACTACACTTGTCACTAAGTTCTGTTTTTTAGGAACTAGAATGGAATTTTTTTTGAAAAAAAAATGTTTGTTTTTATTTGAATAAACGATTATACTACCAAGTCTGAACCTCCTGTGTGAATTTGGGCACCTTTAGAAAAGCCACCCTGTATATTTTGAAGATATGTGAAGTCTGCCTAATAGCCCCTGTACAGTAGAGGCTTTTGCCCAACAGTGGGACATATATAAGTTGTTACTTTGTTATCCTACAATTAAATTTACTATACTCACTAAGCCACAGAACAATTATAACACTTCTTTCATGTGCAAAATCAGACACATTTAAATAATCCATTATATACCTGATTGCAATCCTTAGCATTCTCCGGATTGAAGTCAATGCTGTTCATTTGCTTCGCAACAATTTGAATGATTTCCTTGCATGCGGAAGCCTGCGCCTTCTCTCCGAGCATTTTCCCTAACGTGTTTCGTAGAATGTAATTTATGCACTTCCTGAAAGTAAAATTTACTTATAACATGTCATTTAAAGCCTAACCATGTTGGTAGTTAATAAAGAGAAATTGTATAAAAGTCATAATTTGAGTTGTAGAATAATTGTAATTGAATTTTCAAAGAAAAAAGATTACCAAATATTGTTCATAAAAATACCTGGAATACACGGCGTCCACGTGTGAACTGGCAGCCTTTGGATTGGCGACCAAATCCAGCACGTGCGTGAGGAACGTGGTCATGTTGCGCTCCAACCAAACTCCGCCCATATTCTGCACGAATACCACGTACGCCTGGGGACATAGCATATATGCAATCAGATTCATTATCCATTTCTCAGCCTGAGCTGAACGTCCTAAACGAGACAGTTGAAATGGTCAATCGAAATAGAACAGTGATAAATACTCACCCAAAAAACCGCGCATAAATATAATATCAGAACCAATGTTGGAGTAAATTAGCCTTTGCTTAGGTAGTTCCCTTACCATCGGTGGCTACTGCAATGACGCCAATTACATTCTACACATCTAATCATAATATGTAAACTATCAAATAAAATAGTTGTTTGTTTGAACCCCCACTTGTTAATATTAAAACAAAAAAAAACAATTTGGAACGGTTGCCAGGCACAGGTCTGTTCTTCAGTGAAACTGGGATTTGAACCTGCAACTATATCATAATTCAGTGGGTGAGCCACCAAGCCATTAAGACAATATCACACTACAGCATACAATGGTTTTTATATTTCAACTAACTGAACTATCTTAAGTACAGACTAAAAAGTAGCTTAGAACAAACCTTATACACGGTGAAGATTACTTACATGTGTAACACACACCCGCACCTCCCTATTAACACCTGACCCAGACTTAATAATGTCACCCTTGAGAAACGATGTGCCGCCTCTGAGGAATGCGCCCATCAACAGGTTTAAGGCTTCGTCCAATGAGACAACATTCTTCTGTGAATCCTTCTTGCTTTGTTGAACTAGAATTAAGTCCATCATAAATCTACATAACTTGTGCAGTTAATTGATGACGAAAAGTAGTTTCAAATCCGTAAAGTAGTTTCATTTAATATGTATAATATGATGAAAAGGTTACGAATTTCATGAGAAAGAGGAGGTATTTATAGTTTTACTTAGGATAAAACAATTTCATTTTGCATGGTGAAGCAAAGTGCAAAGTGGTTCATATTGGTTAAACTACAGAAATGGACTAATAAAACTGTTCAAAAATTAAATATACGTATTTTAAACATTTAAAATACAGTGGATTGCAGGACATAACTTGATCAAACATAAGAGAAGCATATTTAATCTAAAAAAAAAAAATTTTTGATCAAAAGACTGTACCTGATTGAATGCCTATCTTCATTTTATTGTTTGTATTGTTGATATCGCCAGCTTGGGTAGTAGCTATGAGAGCGCCTAAAAGCTCTGCCACAGCACATCTATAATGTAAGAAATTAAAGTAAAATTTTGGTTAATTCAACCTAAAGTAAATATTGCTTCTATATTCTTCTTTTGTTTTGATTTTTTTTTTATATGAAAAACTCAAGCGCTTAGAGAACTAGAAAAAAAGAGAAAGAAGAGAATTCACCAGAGTGCCTATTCAAACAATGGCCAATGAGTGATTAAAGAACAATTTACTTAACAACCTTATTAGTCTAACCTTGCCTCAGGTCTGTATATAATTCTATAATATGTATTTATTTACAAAACCAAAGTATGTCTATCAGTTATCTAGTACCAATAGTACGAGCACTTCTTAGTTAGCGACTAGACAGCGCTGTGTGACAATGTGTGTATGTATGTATTTATTTACGACCGACCTGAGCGCATAGTCGCTGGGGTGGGCGGCGCGCAAGCACGCCGCGGCGATCGCGTCGACATCGGCGGGCGCGAGCCGCATTAAGGGCAGCACGCGCCTGAGGGCGTTCGCTGCCGCCGCACGCACGGCGGGCGCGCGCTCGCCGAGCAGAGCGGTGCGGGCCGCGCGCGACACCTCGCGCAGCGCCGTTCCCGCGGCCGTGCCCATACCCACGCAGATCTGTTCGAACGGAATTACTCTTTGCGCTTTCTATCGCATTGCGTTTTAATATTTGACACTTCCGAGCGGACATCTTTAGGGTTCCGTACGCAAAGGGTGAAACGGGACCCTATTACTAAGACTCCAATGTCTGCCTGTCACTAGGCTGTATCTCATGAGCCCTTATAGTTACGACAGTTGAAATTTTCACGGATGATGTATTTCTGTTGCCGCTGTAACAAGAAATACTGATAAACAGTATAAAAATATTTAAGTGGGGCTCCCAAACATGATTTTTTTTGCCCTTTTCTGTCTTGTCTGTCTCACACTTGGCCGGTTTTTATTTTTTTATTTTAAAAAATAGTACGCAGCACACTGACACGGTGGCGCCGTTGCCAAGCTATTGGCTTCCGTGTATAAGTATTTGTGCGACCCACAGATAATTGGGTGTCAGTTTCCCATTGGAGTTTGGAGGCGGCCAGACGTTAAAGAATATAGCCAAAACAACAACATGATTCACATGTTGTGCCGACCCTACGTGCGACTTATCCCATGCCCTTAGGTAGGAGGATGATAATGAAGAGTATGGTATGTGATACCTTATGAACCTATATGTATATTTTTTTATGTAAATTTTGACGATTCATAAGAACGCGCAAGCGTCTATTTGAATAAAGATTTTTGATTGATTGATTGATTGATATGCAAAATACTAGCACAGGATATGACAAGTAGTTCAAACCAGAATGGGATGAAGTCAAGTTAAAATAGATAATTATGCAAAAAAAAATTAAAATCCCTGTGGTTAAGCCCCAAAACAATTAAGTAAACATGAAATTAATCAATAGTATTAAGAGTTATACTGTTATACTTGTACAAATAAAATAGAATGGTTAACTAAACAGGACTGGATGGTGGAATATACACAGCCTATACACACAGCCATTTTTCAGAAAATAATAATAGAATACAATTTTTTCCCTTTTATTCTCTGAAATCTTTAATTACCTTTTCCAAAGTAATCATAATTTCCAATCTTGTCTGGGACTCAGAACTTTTTAGTGATCTCACAAGGGTGGCTACAGTCTCTTCGTATGACCTTCCCATCATCCGACCCAGTTTCTCATACATACTGCCCAAACAACAAATGGCAGCACTAAAAATTAGACCAAACATTTAATGCTACATATAGCTATATTAATATAAAACAGTTAATATAAAAGTAAAAATAAAACAGTTAAGATAACATCATGTAAAAACTCTAAGGCCAATCGGAGATTGTGTACTGTACAACTGTTACGGACTCAATTCCTGTTTTAAGAATTTTAATAAATTTTTTAAGGGATTAAGATATGACACTGAAGTGGTTTTGGTAAACAAAAACAAAATAAATTGAGAGGAAATAAATAAAAATAAAAAGATCCTTCTTTTAAATAAATCAGTTTCAAAGTACATACAAAATTCATTAAATTAAAAAATCTAGTCATTATTCAGTACTATTAACAGATACTCACAGTCTAGTTGGTAAATATGATGGTGAATCATCTTTCACTTTGATTATGTCATTGCATTTGTTTACCGTATCAAACAAGAGGAATGTATCCCCAACCGAGAATAGTGTAGCTAAGCATCTTGCAAGAAGTCTACGGGCTGGTGCACCAAGTGATTCTCTTAAAAGATTCACTAGTTGTGCCACAAGCTTTTGCTGGCAGCTTTTGATGTCAGACTGTAAGGAAAATATTAGATCCTGATTGATAAAATCTGTATTTAAAAGCATACTGTTCACTTAGTAGTTAACTAAGCATAGCAAATAAGGTTTCAGTTTAGTAATAAAATCTTTCAATATTGATTAAATATGTTTAGGAATTTTGTGAAATTATAATAGTAATTAAATTACTCAGTAAAATATATACATTTACTTATTTTTCAAATAAAAATGTATCAATGATCATATGATACTCTTTATGCAAAAAATTTTACCCTAATTATTACCCACTTCCTATTATTATTTTATGAAAATAGCCTAACAGTCCAAAACAAAATGAGCAATAGTAGCTTAGTTTGTGAAAGGCTAATTATGGCATATAAATGTAGAAAAATAATATTTTATGTACCTTATGTGCAGCCACTAAAACCTTGTCTAGAAAACGTAGCCATTCAAATATAAAGTGTGGTTTTTTATCGTCTGGTAATTGTTGCAGAGCTGCCTCATTCAATGTCAGAGAATGTGATACCTCCATGTTTCTAAAAATATAAATAATTGTTAAATACATCATACATATCTTCTTTCTTACTTAATCAATATAGCCAATCAAAATAATATTGGTATATAACAAAATAATTCATAAATTCTAAAAGAAGTGAAATGTTAACACATGGAACAATGCTCACCAGATATGTTAAAGGTGGCTAGGATGTCAAAGAGCTTATAATAAATAAATGTATAAAATTGGCTTACAAGTTACGTACAACCAACAACCGCCCTGTTTATTATAAGATAAACAATGGCGTCATTCGTGAATCAATTTTCTTAACTACTTAATACATACAGTCACACAAAAAAGGTTTCCTCTAAAATTAAACAACCGCTTAAAAATTTAATGGTACACATGGTATTACACGTATAGCGTACCTGCACAAATTGTAATCGCTAAGTTTTAAGAACAAATATCAAAGATGTATTCCATGACAAGGTGTAGGGAAAATACTTTTTTGAACTTTAAATTGCAATATATGACTGCAACTAATATAAAAATTTAAATGGTATTAACTAATTGACTCTTTTTAATTGTATTTTTATTTACTTTCAAAAGGAAAGTGAAAATTGATTAAATTGACAACTAAATTGATGACAGCCAACCAATTTATAGTTCTTTACTTTTCTTTCATATTTAAGTGTCAGTTGTAATTTTCTACCAATTAGACGAAGCACGATTATTTATTATTATCATTATTTACATTTATTTTTAGGTGTTACTCCAAAACCACCATAGTTTTTTATCATTTTACTGCAATCACACAATACAGTTTCGAATCTTTGTTTAGTGTTGATATAAAAATTTTATCTTCGACTGTAGTAGTTTTACAAATACCTACAGTAAAATACAAATAACTCGAACTTCATGAAAAAAGAAATCCATAAAGAAAGCTAAGTTTCTTTATATAGTGATCATAATTATATAATTTTGTATGGATAATGATAGAATAGTTTTTAATAATGAAGGTAAATTTCGCACGTATAATATATAAGTATTTCAAATTTGTAAAGTGATCAGATGGACCTGATTGTAAATTTATCAATAAATTCGACAACTCATTCACATAATAAATTCAAACAATTAAATACTTAATCTGGAATAGGGTGTAGGGATAACTTTAAATAATCTGTGCTATATCTTGTCTACGGTGGCTTATGTGCTCGCGTCACGCGTGTGATTTTGATAAAATAATTGGACACAAATAACAAATATTCATTTTCAACTTAATTTTTAGCGAATAGAGTCATTAGTAGTGATCCAATATCCGTATCTCTAAGACAGGAAGATTACGTTACGCTGTATCATGCAAAAGGATACTATTATGCTAAAAAAATTTTGCAGGCTGTACACAAATGATTATTAACATGAGTGCACAACAAAGCCCGGCGCAAACAAACATGCAGGCTGCAGTTGATAGAGAAAAAGTGTACACATGGATTTTGGAGCTGTGTAATCCTGAAACTCGTGAAAATGCTCTTCTGGAGCTGAGTAAAAAACGAGAGGTGGTGCAGGATTTAGCGCCCATGTTATGGCATAGTTTTGGAACCATTGCCGCTTTATTACAAGAAATCACCAATATTTATGTTGCTATGATACCTCCCACCCTTACTGCCCATCAAAGCAATCGTGTTTGTAATGCTTTAGCCTTAATGCAATGTGTAGCTTCTCATCCAGAAACAAGGTCTGCTTTCCTGCAAGCTCATGTACCATTGTTCCTGTATCCTTTTCTTCATACTGTGTCCAAAACGCGCCCTTTTGAATATCTGCGCTTGACCAGTTTAGGTGTTATTGGGGCATTAGTAAAAACTGATGAGCAGGAGGTGATTACGTTCCTTTTGACTACAGAAATAATACCACTTTGTCTGCGTATCATGGAAAATGGTTCTGAGCTCTCCAAGACTGTGGCAACATTCATACTTCAAAAAATATTATTGGATGACAGCGGTTTGTGCTATATATGTCAAACCTATGATAGATTCTCGCATGTAGCTATGATTCTTGGAAAAATGGTGCTGTCTCTAGCAAAGGATCCATCAGCGCGTCTATTGAAACATGTTGTGCGTTGTTATCTCCGGCTGTCTGATAACCCAAGAGCCAGAGAGGCTTTGAGGCAATGTCTTCCAGATCAACTTCGTGATGCAACATTTACAGCATGCCTTCAAGAAGACAATTCAACCAAGCATTGGCTGGCGCAACTCATTAAAAACTTGGAAGCTCAACCCCCACCTGCGAGCCCCGCTCAACAGAACATGTGAGCATCAAATATGGGCTATTTAAGTTCCTTACAAAATGTTCAAAGTGTAGCAGCACCTCTTTTTTCACTAATTTTGTTATAATTTGATCTACGTTTGATACTTATGCTACCTTTTGCAATTGTTTTGTAATTTACTTAAGAGCCTACTAGCCCGTTATTTAAAATATACCACAGAACAAGTTGACCATAAAAAGTACAGTTCATTTATTTATTGTTTATTTGTATTGTTAACCCATATTTTCTTTTTTGCACTGCTGTTAATGAAACCCCGTAGCATGACATGTTACTATAATAGACATATCCTGAGTAATCACACTACGCTCCTGTAAAATTCTAGCACATTTGAGTGACCTTTTCTTTAAAATGTATTATTTTTTTAGGTACAAAACCAGATGAAAAGTAATTTTGTATGCAGTTGTAGTGGACTGGACTAGAAATACACTTTTACAAATTTTTCATATTAATGTTTTATTTTCCTTTTCATTTTTGTTATTTATTTTGTGCTGTATGTAAATTTAACAAGGAAGGTTTATTTGAAAATATATCATTTTATATATATTCAGTAATGGGCACTAAAAATCTGGGCCTCGAACTGGATATTTTGATAATGCCCAACGCTTTCCATTTGAGTAATTCAAGTAGAAAGATCTATTGGCTTTGCTTGACTGTGGTCTTAGAGTATTGTTTAGATAAAGTTTTAGCAATGTGTTATTACCAGCTTCCAATTTTATTTTAGAAGTATGTATATACTGTGTACTGCGTGTTACTGTCTCTAAACATTGAAAGCATGCCTTGTCAACTTGTAAAAAAAGTTTAGAAGTCTGCACCCTCTTTGTGTCATTTTCAATTTTTCTATTATACTTGCACAATTTACACTGATTATCTCTTTGGCGTATATTTGTTAAACAATTACCATCGTTAATTAATGGTCCTGATATAATTGTATTAATTGATTCATCAACATATTCCTTCTTGTATAATGTTTCCTGAGACTTAAATTTATTAATGACAACTTTACTTTTTCCCCTTTGTGTAATATTGTTAATAATTTTTCTTTTTTCTATCAAAATGGATCGAGTTGGTTTATCATTCGTTGGGTTTTTCATAGAGTTTATTGTAAACGCAGTTGGAGTTGTTGATTGTTCTAATATAGGATTTACTATATCACTGCAAAGCTTTTGAGCTATAGTGGGCATGTATGAAACACTATACCCAACTATTGTTAGTCTCAAATTTGGTAAATGTTGATTTCAAAAGAGGGAACTGGGATCAAAACATGTTTATGTTTTAAATGACGTTTATGTTTTCAAAGACAATTTTTTTCACTTTTTTGCAATGACAAACGCCGATAACTTTCTGCCAGTTCACGCCGTGTTTCTGTTCTGAAACACTGATCATCGTAGATGTCAACTAATCAGCTGTCAAATGAATTTCAAATTTCATTCTAGTTGCCAAAAGGATGGTTAAACTCTTTGAATTAATCATTTTGATCATAAAGAAGATCATTCTGGTCAATTCAGAGAATTTAACCATCCTTTTGGTACCTAAATTGTAATTTGAAATCCATTTGACAGCTGATTAGTTGACATCTACGATGATCAGTATTTCAGAAACCACGTGCGTGATCATCGTAGATGTCAAGTAATCACCTGTCAAAAGGCTTTTCAAATGTAATTTAAGTTGCCAAAAGGATGGTTAAACTCTCTTAATTGCGCAGAATGATCTCAATGATCAGAATTTTGACCATTATATGGATATAACAATATATGGACCATTAATATCAAATACCTATCGCTAGTAACCAAATCTACAGATAAAGAGAATATTGAACCCTATCTCTGCTTACCATTAAGTATAGCTACGCACACTAGCTATTTTATGCCAACAAAGAAATTTAACCCCACAATATTTTACCTTTCTTTTTCGAACTTAATTGATTAAAGTTGACTTATGGTAGGACCACGCAACAGACTTCGCTGTTGCACGAATAGACAGATCTGTCCGGGTAACTACCGCTACCTCACAAATGACCGCCGTGAGGTGGAAGCGTTATACTTCTGAGTTTCTACTGGTGTATGAGGTAGTCGAGGCCGACTTCTTGTGTTAAAAGTTGGCAACGTATCTGCTACCCTACGGGTGTTACAATTGTCAATGGGTGGCATTTTTCACATAATATCGGGTGAACAACAAGCTCGCCTGCCACCTTCACATATAAATAAAATCTTTTGTTTATTGTTCATCTTTGTTATTTATTGGTCTATTCTAGAAGTGGGCGATACAAATCGTATCAGATATGAAAACTAGATATTAGTACAATATCCCAATATCGCTTACTGGCTCGTTCAATATCTATGTATTATACAATATCTGATATTTCCGAAATCTGATGTACCGTGCTCGCTCGCTATACCGACACGAATCGCGATACGGCGATATCATACGCGTTTGCCACAATATCTGATTTTTAAACAGATTTCGAGAGACAAAGCGCGTGAGATACAAATACTCACTAGTTAGAGCGGGACGGCAAGCAATGCACGATATCAGATATCGAGCGACAAAGCGCGTGAGATATAAATACTTACTAGTTAGAGTGGGACGGCAAGCAATGCACGATATCAGATAACGAGCGACAAAGCGCGTGAGATATAAATACTTACTAGTTAGAGTGGGACGGCAAGCAATGCACGATATCAGATAACGAGCGACAAAGCGCGTGAGATATAAATACTTACTAGTTAGAGTGGGACGGCAAGCAATGCACGATATCAGATAACGAGCGACAAAGCGCGTGAGATATAAATACTTACTAGTTAGAGTGGGACGGCAAGCAATGCACGATATCAGATAACGAGCGACAAAGCGCGTGAGATATAAATACTTACTAGTTAGAGTGGGACGGCAAGCAATGCACGATATCAGATATCGAGCGACAAAGCGCGTGAGATATAAATACTTACTAGTTAGACTGGGACGGCAAGCAATGCACGATATCAGATTTTTAAACAGATATTATGAATAAGTTAAGTAATTTTGAATCTTAACACCATGCAAATAAGATCCGTTTCATTTAAATACTAATCTTGGTATCAGCGATTACTACAACGATATTATTATATTTTTATTGTTTTGTTTAGCCTTGAGCCGTAACGGGCGACAAAGCGCGCAGTTAAGTAATTTTGAATCTTAACAGCATGGAAAAAAACTCTGTTGCATTTAAATACGAATTACGGTATTAACGATGTCTTTGAAATTTTGTTCAGCCTTGAGCTGGATTGCATTGGTACTTAACACGTAATAGTAAAGGATGCCAACTTACTACTTAAGAATTTTCTGCCTAAATTAAGGAAGAAAAAAATATACAATGGAAATTTTTTTTAGGAGGTAAATTTTTTTGTGAATATTTTTATTAGCTAAATTTTATTCATATTTTTGGAAAAAAAAAAAAAAGTACACAAAAAGAAAAATATTATTTTAATAGTGCTGTGCTGCTTTGGTGGAAATCAGACCAAGGCTTATGTGCCTTGTGTGTATATTTTTAATTCTTCCGCCCTAAGCTATAATACTGAATGTATTATTTCTTACACAAATAATAGAAATATTGCCACTCGATTGCGTGTTCTAAAAATATGTTAAAGTCAATTATTAAGCGGTTCGTTTTTATATTACTTCAATTTATATTTTTAATGAAATTTTTAATTTAATAATTTAAAAAAACGCATTTTTAGTAAGACAGGGTTAATTATTAATGATCGTCGAACAAGAGTTTCGACGAATAAAGTCAGAGAGCTTACGTTCCTAAACGTGAATTTGAACCCGGAGGGATATAAATAATTATAAACCCTGACATAATTGTAAATATATAATGTTAAGTTTTAAATATAAGGAAAATTATGTACATAGAATGAATCAACTTTTAAATACGCCTGCACAATTTTATATTTATAATAAGTATGAAATATTGCAGCAAGTCCTAAGCCTGGAAAAAGTATGAAGGGAAGTTATTTCATTCATCCACTCCCAGTATAATTTTTTTTTTTTTTTTTTTTTTAGAATTCAATTAATCAACGTGGATAGGGAACCGTAAAATATCTAGATATTAAAATACATAGTTTCGAAATCTGATATTTGAAATCGATATCGGATTCAGATACGGTACTCAGAAAAAGCGATACGACCCATCCCTAGTCTATTCGAATACATTATTTGCTATCGATATGGATTGGATTTGTATTATTTATAATGGATTCTTCACTTTCAATAATAAAATTAGCTTCCATTTTACCATTTATATTGGCTGATTAATCCTTGGTGACATCGTAAATTATAAACAACAGAAGTTATACTAAGATTAATTACAATTATTAGAAGTTAAAATTTTTTAGCGTAACAAAAGAAAAATAATTAAAAAATTTATCCCCTGTGCCAGTACTCCTTGTTTGTGAAAAAGATATTAATAATTAGATGCAGTTGATGACGGTTACGACTTAAAAATAGAGTTTAAAATGTAGGGATACCGAAAAAATATCGATATGTCGATTTTTTAAACATATCGATAATTTTAGCCGATGTATTTTGATCCAATATATCGATAAAAAATAATATCGAAATCGTATCAAAAACGAAATTTTTATTCAAAATTAATACAGCTGATAACAAATTCAAAGCCGTAAAAGATAAAAATGAACGGAAAATACTGTTGTCTATGACTAGTATTGTCGCAGTGTAGGATGTTGTACTCTATACTATCCATATATTCATACTTATTGAACTACACTAACTCGTCCTCCGACCTCCTTCAAATTCAGTTTTTCGAACTTAATTGAATATAGTTGAATTATGGTAGGACCACGCAACAGACTTCGCTGTTGCACGAATAGACAGATCTGTCCGGGTAAGTACCGCGACCTCAAAGATGACCGGCGTAAAGTGGAAGTATAATACTTTCGCGTTTCGTCAAAAAATTGTCAACGCATCTGCAAACCCTTGGATGTAGATGTCCATAGATGGTGGTATTCATCAGGTGAATCATCTGCTCGCTTGGCAACTTTTCACATAAAAAAAAACATATTTGGCTAATTTATATATAGCATGCAAAATATCAACATAAAATATACTTTAGTTAATACTTTATAAATATAGTATCAATTAAAGTTACTTTACTTTAATATTTAAATAAAGTTAACAAAATTTCATTATAATCAATTTCTCAATAAAGAAATATCACATTTATTATATATCAGGTTTTCATAAAAATATTTGATTTCACAAACTTTTTTAAATTGTCGTTTTAATTTTCAAGTCAATTAAACAACTATAACTAAATAATTGTGCTGATATAGGAGTGTCTTTTAGGACAAGTCTCTGCGGGTTCCTTTTTAACTCGTTATTAACTTCGTTTTAAACAATTCTTTATGTTTTTTGACATAATATCGATAACATCAGGTGTGTTAACCTGTTATCTTGGCAACTTTTCACATAAAAAAATGTCGGATATAGGCCTAGATACCTTTGTCCAAAAAAAGATATGTTAATTGTGATGTATTAAATATTTGCTACCTGAGGACTCTGTGGCAGATTCGAATTTGAAAAAAAAATCAGTATTGATAATAAACTTCGTTATGAGTGAATAAGCTTGAAGGCTTTCTCTGCAGTTTCCACTAGGGATCTTACTTTGTGAGTATTTAGCGTTCCATAGACTAACTGCCTTGTTGCGCCTGCAAGGGTCTACGAGAGGGGACGTCAGCTTCGGCTATTACTGTATAACCCTTAGCATTCCGATTCAAGGCGCCCGAGAGGGCCCAACGTCGGTTCGATCGGTAGCTATCTTAAGGCTAGAAATGTAGCTTTGAAGATTGATATATTACCGATAACTGTGTACTTTTAAACAATAGCAGTACTTCTGACCTATACGAGTACTTTTTACCTATACCTACTCGTTGCATAGTTACAAAGCATCGATACGAAAGGTTTACTTGTTTTTGGAGGGTAGTATCGAGTAAATGTTCGTATTTACTTGTATTGTTACATCGCTAAGCATTAAGTACTTCACTATATAAGGTTGCCAACTTAGGGGTTTTCCCCCCAAATTTAGGGGGTAAAAAATGCATTGGGATTTTTTTAAGGATTTTTTTACATTTTATATTTTTCTACGTTCTATTTCTTGTCATTTTCTTTAATTAAGAAAAATAAAGGGCTTGGAGTGACGAAATCTACCCAAACATATTTATTTGTTGACTTAGCCACACCTAATACGATTTTTCATTACTAAGAATGTGGAAGTATGAATGGAGTTCAATAGTGGTAGCGTAGAATAAATTTTAAGACCTATTTTTGTTGGTCAAGTGCTTAGTAAAGTAGACAAGTATAGCAATAGTATAACACTCCCTCACGCGCTCGCTTTACCCCCGCGCGGAGTGCCGCACTTGAAGTCAAGTGTGACTCGTCACTTGCCATAGTGTAAACAAACAAATTAGTACAGTAGCCAGCAACGGACTCGTCCAATTCGACAGAGAAATGCCACTGTACTTGCTGTAGTGTTAACAGCCACTTCTCCGGTGCCCGTCACTGGTCACTGTACTTGTACTCGCTACTCACCACTGTGACCACTTGACTAATGTAAACAGGCTTTAAAGAAAGCGCCAAACATAATTTTTTTTATCAATCATTATGCGTCGCATTTTTGAAATTACTGTAAAAATATTGCTCGTCCAAAGAGATTATATGAGACATTTTTTATAAAATTAAATTCCCTACAATTTTCTTTTAACACAACATTTTTGCTGCAATATTCTTCACTGTATTATTCCATTCATGTGGAAATCTTTGCATTATTATTTTGCGCCAATTTTTTCAATAATATTATTTTATCAGGTTGTTTAAGGGGTTTTGGACAAACTTTAGGGACATATATTTTCGAGAGTTAGTAAAACGACCACTAATTATATCATATTATGAATAGGGCCAGGCTTGACAACTTAGTGCTTTTTTTTTATACATATTGGGCTTTTTTTAGTGTCAAAAAAGTTTAAGGTCATGAATAATATGTCATACATCACTATTTTGACTAGAGATAAGAAATCAAAATGCCAATAAATAAATGTAATTAATGAAATTTCAGTAAATACTATGTACTTTTATTAATTATTTCATTCAAACAGTTCAATTTGAAAGTCGTTTAAAGAGTAATATTGATTACGATACATGGATTTTTTGGGCTTTTGAAACGTATTTATATGGCTATTTCATGATTCATCTTGATTTTAGGGCCATTTTTTAAATTAGTTGGCAACACTAGACAGCTGACAGCTGATGCGAATTCTGTTTTGATGTTTCAAATTATAAAACTAACAAATCTTACATTTTGTTTTATGTCGTAAGCTAGAAAGAAGAAAGAAACGAGATTAATTAATAAAGAAAATAAGTTCTTTAGCAGAAAATGTGTAATCCACATAAAATTCTTTTTGTAGCAATTCTTTGAAGTCAGCTTAAACTTGACAATATTCAACACTAGAAGAGATATTTTTATAGTATAATTAAGTAAATTAACCAAATTGGTTTTGCTATCCAATATGTGGGTTTTTGGATACGGTTCTTTAGTTTGGAAAGTTGATTTTGAGTACGAATTGAAAATCGTAGGATATATTAAAGGCTACCTTAGACGCTTCTACCAGCACAGTATTGATCATAGAGGCATACCGAAAAAGGTGGTTTATCGATAAATGTGTAATTATTACATTTCTAATTGTATTATTGAATATCTATATAAATTAAAGTAAGATAAAGAGAGTACATTTTCAAAATATTTCAGCCTGGGAGAGTAGTTACTTTGGTACCCACCGATGATGCTGATAGTATGGTATGGGGAATAGCATATAAAATTAGAAGCGAGGACATTGAAAATGTCACAAATCATTTAGATTTTAGAGAAAAAAATGGCTATTGTAAGAAAAGTGTTACATTTTACCCAAAAGATAAATCTGTTGAACCTTTTGATTTGACATTATACATAGCCAGCAATGAAAATGAATCATATGCAGGTAATTGGTAAAGTCAATTAAGCTTCCTTCCAGCAAATTTTAAATAAGCTTAATTGTTTTTATCTATTAATCTTAAGCTTCAGTAGCACTATGCAACCACTTTGTTGCAAGAATGGGCAGGCTCACCTGGAGAAGCAACACAGCCTGACAAAGGACCAGCATGAATTAGTGTGAAGTATTTGTATAAGTACTTTTATTTCATCTGGTGAGTGAGGTAACCAGGGCTCATGTTTTAAAGGTTCTCAACACATCCTTGAGTGTGGATAATCACTTAACAAAACTACTTTATTTTAATTCAACTGTGTGGTATGGTTATAAAGCAGGTTCTGCTGTTGTTGAGTGTTATAATTTTGCCAACAATATTAGATGGACTAATGCTGTAGATATATAAAAAAATAGGCCCTTTGTATATCTAAACACATTTCTCAATAATAGAAGATTATTAGGTGCATGTTGATTGCAAAATAATAGTAAAAAGAAGTTAATAAACATGATAATTTTCACATTATAATGTCTTCAATTATTTTATCATTTTCTTTTTATAATATTTATTTATTCACTCATGTTTTGATCTAGTCAAACCACAAACTTAAGACTGATAATTTTGTGATATATTTAGTCATTTATATTTTTATAGCTTTAAATCATGTAAACCTAACAATTGATAGAACCAATATCGAGCATTATTATGTTTAAAAAATTAGATTTACCAGAAAATATTGAGATTGCATTGATGAACTGTGTAATGAATTTTATCTATACGAACAATCACCATTTTTAAGAAGTTAAAATTATAACATCTTTTATGCCATGTCTTTACAAAGTTTAAGATGCTTTAAAAAGTACAATAAATATTTTTATATTTACTGTACTTTTATCAAAATTGTAATCAACATATCCTTCATTCAACATATCGTATTTTCAACTAATATAATTTTATTTTGGTTATTTCCTATCTGATTGTTGTTTATTGAATGTTTTAGGTCCAGCATCTTTAGAAGAGATAGCAAAGCAAGTCATTAGTTGCCATGGTCCTAGCGGATCTAACAAGGAGTATGTTTATAATCTGGCCAGAGCTATGAGAGAAATTGCACCTGATGTTGAAGATGAACACCTGTTTTCCCTTGAAGAAACATTGCGAAGACTCGAGAAGGATCATTAATAATTATAATATTATGCGGGCATAAAAATTAAAGTCAATTTCTTGCTTAGATCTGTTCAAAGGACATTAAATTCTTTTAAATTTATATATGTTTACCATTTTGACCAAGACATCATTATAAAATTAACATTTTAAATACATTTTTGTTTGAAAACCAAAAGCTTCAGTTAAAAATATGTTGCTTATGTAGCTGAAAGTCCAGAACATGATTAAATTATCTCCCAACCTAAGAATATGAAAAGTTAAATTTGATATTAATAACTTTAAAGAAAAATTGACAGATTGTAATCATTTGATTAATAATAACTGAGTTTAATACTGCAATGTAGTGTGAATAACCTTTTACTGAGCTTGTGCCTTTACCATCTTCCACTGTATCACTAACACTTACCATCAGATGGGATAGCAGTCAAGCACTAGACAGTCCCTTCTGTTTTTATCTTTTTTTTTATTACAATCTTATATTAGTTTCATCACAATAAACATAAAATTTATGAAGAATATGAGCAAATGCATTTTTTTTAAATACACCATGTAAAAAATAGAATCTTTAACATGTTCTATTACTCTGAATATTATTAAATTAAATATATGGTCTGTAAAAATAACCAATCTAATGTAATATTTCGCAATATGTATTTTTAACAATTATTTAAAAACTGTCTTGTAATTTAGTTTTTACAGAACAACAACTTGTAATAATTAAATAAAATCAATTAATACATTTAAATCATATGTCCTCAATTATATAATATCAGTAACATATTTGTTACTAAAAAAAACATCACATAATATTGTTTCTTGGTTGCCCTTACAAACATTTTTGAGTAAATTATGTAACTTGTTATAAGTGTTTCAATGTAGGTACTTATGAAACCTTCTGTAGTTGAATAAAAAAATTGTAATAAAATATTTAATGATGCAAAATACGTTAAATGTACTTTTACGGTATATAACAATTACAAAAATAGAATTAATTTAGCATATTGGTATGAAAAAACAATATTTACAAATAAATTGATGCAAAAATAATTGAATCAAAACACAAACCAGTAGAACAAAACAGGATAAGTGCCAAAAATTATGCTGTTAATTAAAATATATGTTACAGAATTACCACACCTAAGAATAAAATTTTCCTCATGTAAGGCAGAATTTGGTTGATAGGGAGTGTCACATGGCACACATTATCAGTAAGTAACTGATAACCCACCCAGTGCATTTGATAACGTAAATAAAGGAAGTTTGGCCTTCAGTTCGTGTCACGCTGTATTTACCCACCAGTATCGGCATTATAATAAATACTTTTTGCATATTCAGAATACCTAAATACATAAATTACACACATTGACGTCATTTGAATGGTATTGTATGCAGTAATCTTTTTATAATCTTTGGCAGGTTTATTTTTCTGCAATTGAACGTTGCAATATCAATTTAGGTACTATCTTTTTTCTCTTGTCACTTTTCCTTATTACGACCTAAAAGTTTGTCTAAGAAACTCCTCTTTCTTTTAACTTTCTTTATTTTCTCGTTGTTTTCTATGTTGTCGCCTTCCATCGTCATCTTCTCTATTAAAGCCGGAATCGTTAAATCAGTCACCGTTTCCACAGGCTGCTTTTTAATGTCTCTATTAAATTGCTGTTGTACAGCCGATAATTCAGGAACTCTATCATTTTTCTCTGCTAATTCCATCAAGGAGGTCTCCAATCCATTCCCATTTTTATTTTTTTCCATATTTTGCAAATCATTGTTTTTTCCGTTCCCTTCGATTAATATTTCAGGTCCGTTTTCAACGAATTTTTGACACTGATTTAACGTTTCGTTATTGTTTTCCCTCTCAGACTGTGCGCTTTTGTTTTCAAAGACATCGTCGTTTTCGGTGCTGTTCAATTTCTCGTCCGGGGCTTTTTTATCGACACTATCAACACTTTCGGCAACGCTCGAATTCGATTTAGGAACGGAGGCCACCACTCGGGGTCTTGTCGGTGGTATTTTCCAATCAATAGGTTTGCGCTGAGGTGAATAACGCTTTACTAGTTCTTCGAAAAGTTTTTGATGGTCAATTTTAGAAGACACCTCATGATTAGGCAGGCTTTGATGTCTACTTTTTTCTGCCGGATCTTGGTTTTCTTTCCCGTCTACCTCGGGTGAGCCCAGGTCTACAACAACTCTGCGCACTGGCGTCGGTGTCGAGTATGGCTCCGCAAACGGGAACTTAAATAAATTGGGGCTTTCAATTTTATATTTCACCGGGGACGCGTTGTTTGTGGGCATCGACGCACGGACACCGCCACGGGTGAACTGCGGGCTTCCGCTGGGATCGTGCAGGTTCGAGTTCAGGAAATCCCTGCGCAGCTTCGACAGCCGCCTCGTTCTCTCCGTCATGCTGTGCCTGTAGTCGACGTCATCGCTCTGGTTAAGCTCGGACGTGAAGTTGTCTGAGTACTTTCGCGGCCGGAAATCGAAGTGGTTGTGCTCCTCGCTCCGTGTCTCCCGCATGCTGGAGTATCCGGGTGTGTTGCGTTTGAAATTGGCCGTGGTCTTCCCGTGGTTGGACGTCACTATCGGCTCGACCTCCCTATAAGCCGGCGTTGGCGTAGTTGGCGACGGAACGGGCACGAACACAGTGTCGTACCTGTCGAACACCTCGCGCCGCTGACTGAACTGCTCCACTCCGATGATTTCCCGCGACCTCACACTGGCCGTAGGCGATTTGGCCGCCATTACCGTTCGATTGCAAACCACAATTCTTTTGTTATTGATACTATTTTCCAACAAACCAGCGTGTTTCTATTTTCGTACGGCGCACATCATGACTTCACCGGTAACATCGCGCCTATAAAAGAGTACACGTCTACACATTAAATTGGACAATAAAGGTTGTCGGGTCGTCCGTATAAGGCGGATTGCTCGCGATGTAATGATGAGTGATCAATAGAGTGGTGCCGATAAGATAGGTGCGTCGCGTATCGCCGCTCTAAGCCGTTTCTTTATCTTCGAGCGTCGGAAACATTTGTGTAAATAGCAGCGAGTGAACACAATCGCACCCGTAATTAATCGCCGAGCGAGTGAAAGCCAACCGCGGCCGGCGGCCGATCGGCGGCCGCTCATTATATAATGAATAATAAAACAAACGTCCCAAATACGATACGGCAGGGAGACTTTGCACTTAATTTTGACACCTTTATAACATTAAATAGGCAATTACTTATAATGCACTTCGCATTGTCCACGGCGACACATTTCCAAATATTCACTAATGAGTAGTGTTTGTAATTATTCACACGTTTACAGCCGTTCAACGCTTATTAGTGCTTTAATTAACCGCCGTTGTTAACGACAATTTAATATGGTTGCGAATAAAATTTTCACAAACAACTGTAAAAATAATAGCAATAGTAATTATGGACTAGATAAATAAAATTTGTGGCCCGTAATTATTATTGAAATTTTAAAAAAACACGACATTCGACATTAGAAAAACATTTTAGCGTACAATAAAAATATTCTTACTTCGCCGGTAACATTTGCATCACAAATTTCACATCTCGTCTCTTGGGGTAATAACAAATGCACATAATTTAAAACAGGAATAACACAAGAGTCACAGCTTACTATTGTGATTCAAAACGTTGTTTTTCGTAACAGAGCAAAAATTACTCATAGTACACGCCCGTGCCCGAATTTCGTTATTCTATTTACAGTTAAGTAGGTACCCATCATAAGTGATCGTTAAAAATAGTAACGAGGTAAAGCGCTTACATTGCTAGTTAGTTTTTCAACTGAAGTAATGTTACAATGCACTTTTAGTTTAACCAATGTTTTATATTACAGTTTCGGTACGATACTATATTTCATTATTATTATATTAAATTAAGAATTATATTACTATAGCCACAGCGTTGTTTAAAAATGTAAGTTTCAATAGACTAATCCATGTTAGCAAGTGGCTTTACATATATTATTTCATGAAGCAAACCCTACTTATGCATATACTTTAAATATATAATTATAACCTACATGACATCTACTTATAAATGCTGTTTATAGCGACCAAAAATTGCGATAAACGATAATTGTTGATAATTACTAAACATTCGATTATTGCTATGCTACTCGGCCGTCCTTATCCATGCTCTTAAGTTTATTACTTCCTTGTAAAAGATAAAAGGAGTGATGACACGTAGGCTAAAGACTTTCGTTTGGCGTGCCGCTAAATGCTATAAAGCTTCCCTTAGAATAGATCTCTCCCATAGTGAACTACTCTATTTATAACATTTCTCTTTAATTAGCACTACTTGGGAATATAGATATTCTTGTATTTCCATCTAATCTTTGCTCTATCCTATACATTAATAAGAATTTGAGACCCAATTACACAGTTTTTTTCCATATAATATAAAAATAACTTTTCTTGTAGAAAACCTTCTTGGTAATCAGGTTCCACAAATGCAAAGCATTTGAAGATGTATGCTCTACACTGGGGAATTAAAGAAACCTCTTTATCAATGAAATAAATTAAAAATTATAGACTTTCTTCCTTCTGACTGATGTTAGCGCTTTTAGTCCTTAGACGTTTAAAATTGCATTGAACGCAGATTAACAAAAATGAGGATAGGGCTTGTAGTAAAAGCAATTTACTACCGACTGATCACCACGGGAATTCTTTTTTGATTTTTTCATTATAATTAATTGTATTTTTAGTTTCGTAATGGGAAATGATTTACCAGTTTACCTATGAATGAGCTAAATGTGTGATCCACTACATTTAAGGTACTAAAATAGGTATTGTTTTTATTATCTAAATGAACTCATCCCCGATGAAATGTTATTCAGGAGTTTCGCTGCGATGTGTTTTTGGCGTCGAAACATTAGGTACCTACCTTTATGTTTCACCTAAACTATGGTTCACATCCACATGCAAATCTCACTTGTTAGCGAAAATATCGTTTTTTAATAGATGAATTTATGAAAATGCTATGCCATGGTTTATTTGCATTATTAAAATTATAACGATCCATAAAATAATTCAAATTACATCATATTTGGTACACTAACGTAAATAAATACTCAATATGTGTTATTTTTCCTGTGTCCATCATCCTGTCGTATGTTATTTTCGTATCAATTTAATTAACAAACGTTTTACTCGTTATCATGTTGTTTTGTTTTATTCCTATACAATTAATACCAATTGATGTTCTGTTTTGAAAACTGTGGTTTCCTGGAGTATCAATATTCTTCGTTATATCCAATATTGTTTGCGTAAATCTTGGACTGAAGCTGTCGAAACGCGGCGTTGGCTTCAGACCACAGTCCTAGCGTCATGTTTCAACGGGAAAAAGCATACCGTATTTCTAATTTAGAAATGGTCAGTTTTGGTATGAGCCAATGCGTTGGGAAATTTGGAGTACAATACGAAATTTATTTCGGCAGATTTTATCTAAGTGTATAACGATAACAAAATGTAAAATACCTTCGCTATTCCACTGTAAAGTCGGAATATTGTTATATTTATATGATGCAAATGGACACGATAAGATAGAGTGTATTTATAACATTAGGAAAATATTGCTCAAGAATTACCAAATAAAAGTGAATTCACATTAATAACACCCAAAAAGTTTTAGGACACAAACTTTATTAATATATTAATTTGACAATTTAAATTTTATATTAATATGAATTTTATTCACATCAAAAGTTATTTACAATATTTAAAAATACTTTAAACAATTTTATCGCGTTTAGATTTGTTTTAAAATTCGAACGTTTCGCACCTTCTCCAGCGTTCATAGTTACGGGTAAGAAGTTTGTAAATCAGTGTCGTTTAAAAACTTGTTGAGCCAAACTGTTCATTTAATAACACACCGGCCAATTGCCGGACTCGCACACGAAGGGAAAACGAGAGAGAAAAATATCATGTACGGGAGCCCCACAAAATTTTTTTTATTCCATTTTTTATTTGTTGTTATAGCGGCAACAGAAATACATCATCTTAGATAATTTCAACTGTCTAACTATCACGGTTCATGAGATACAACCTGGTGACAGACGGACATTCAGACAGCGGAGTCTTAGTAATAGGGTCCCGTTTTACCCTTTGGGTACGGAGCCTTTAAAACCAAGCGGGTGTTTTTATGAAGGAAGGTCGCCAACGAGCACGCGATTCATCTGATGGTAAGCGGTTACCGCCACCTGGATAGACCGCCACCTCTGTTACCTCGCTTAGCAGACGAGAGGCAAAAGCATAATTAAAAGAAAGTATGTATAAGTCGACGTAAAGTTGAAAAAACATGCCTTATTTTTTTTATCTAAACCTTTGTAATGAGTAACTATTACTTTATTGTTGTCGAGTAACTAGGGAAGTGTAATTATGGAGAATAAAAAACAAAATTAGCCATTCTATAACTAAAGCATCTACTATATCAGGTGCCTAATATTTTGTAATCAACAAGTGGCCATAAAACTACAACTAAACGTGGCCAACGTGACTATAAAAACTGTTCCTGCTCGATGGTGAGCAATACCGTACCTAGTTTATGATGGTAAATACACAATCACGGTATGAGAAGTTATCCATAATTGCAAGCAACTGAGGGATGTCTAAATTAGCGCGGTCTAAAATTCCATAGCCATGAAACGGAATACGACAGTGATCTCATTTGATTTGCAAACAAGTTCGTGTCAATCGAAACAAATATGGACGTGCCGCGTTGCCTCGTCATGCGCGAAATACTTGAACATAATTATGTGGAATTTACCTCAATAAACAATTCGTGTATTCACACAAAACGTATTTTTACATTGAACTTTATTAATCTGTGATCCGTTCACGAACTCACTACATAGTATAAAACAAAGTCATCTCGCTGTCTGTCTGTCCCTATGTATGCTTAGATCTTTAAAACTACGCAAAGGATCTTGATGCGGCTTTTTTTTACTAAATAAGAGTGATTCAAGAGGAAGGTTTATAAGTATGTATAATACATTGCACCCGTGCGAAGATGGGGCGGGTCGCTAGTAGTGGTCGCATATATTCCCAAGTTGTGGCATTTTTTTTTTTCTTAAGTTTCAATCATTATATACAGGTAGGCTTTTCTAAGTGTATCCATTTTTTATTAAATTCTAGACATAAATAACGTTATATAAAAAATAGATAAATATTTAAAATCACTCGTAATTAACTAATTACATTCATTTGAACTTATCTCAAAAAGTGCGTGATTTATGGGCAACTCGTTTATTTTACGCACTATCATTCATAACTAACACGCACATAAGTTCGTTTTAAAAGTATACGACGCATTTATGAATGACTACCGCATTGTCAACGAGTTCTGTTTTTTTGGGAATATAATGGTTTATTTTTATTTCAATGAACAATTATACTACCGAAACCGAACCTCCTATGTGCATTTGGGCACCTTTAAAAAAGCCACGCTGCATAAAAATTTTGCTCCCGTGTGTGTGTGTGTCCACAAAACTCAAAAACCAGCCGATGGGTTAACTAATTTGTTTACTAATTAACTTTAATAATTTAAACGGGAGAGTGTTTTTACATAAGTCCCATTTATTCCGAAGTAGCAACGCAAACGAAAAAAGGCACAGCTAGCGTCGTCAGTTGCAGATAGGCTAGTATATGTTTCGTTTCCCCGAAGAGGTTCAAGATATTATTAAAAACTTAAAACCCAAATCCGCCCCGGGCCCAGATAATATTAGTA